TATATACGAAATAAATGAATACAAATAAGATATATAAATACATGAAAAAAATATTTCATTAAATATTAATATTTACCTTATTGTTGGTCACATAGGACTTATATGAACATTTTCCTATTGTTTTGTGTAGCAAGATTGGTAAAAATCTGAAAAATGCCCATCTTTGGCCTGGCATGGTCATGCAAGGCCTGGGCGTGACCATACCCGAAAGTACCTCAGCGTGGTCACGCTAACTCTGGTCGTGACCACTCCCAAGCAAACTGACTTCACATATCAGTGATCTGTGGCCTTCATCCACGGATTAGGCCACAAATTGTCATGCTCTTTCACTGGCGGTGATCTGTGGCTCTTCAACTGTCAACTATTAGACTGGTTGTCATTGTCAGCTTGCCACTATATGAGACGGCTCTGGAGGGCTCCGCCACTGCCTTCCAAGCCTATAAATAAGCAGCTTCTGTGAGAGCATCCATGCAGTGATTGATATGAACTCAGGGAATTTAAGCTCAGAGCATAAAGAAGAGATTCTGATGAGCTTCTTCCTCCTCCTCCTCAGGTCATCGTTGATTCTAGGTTAAGATAATCTACTCAAAAGCCTTGGATTAGGCTTGGGTTGGGATCAGACTCGGGTCGATCCCGAACCCTGCCTAATTGAGCTTCTTCCTCCTCCTCCTCAGGTCATCGTTGATACTAGGTTAAGATAATCTACTCAAAAGGCTTGGATTAGGCTTGGGTTGGGATCAAACTCGGGTCGATCCCGAACCCTGCCTAACCCAAAATCACTTGGTTAAACCCAATCCTAGACCTAAACCAACCTAGGTCTAGCCTGAACTTAACCAATCTTAGACTTAGCCCAACCTAGATCTAGCCTAGACATAGCCAATACTAGACTTAACTCAACATAGGTCTAGCCTAAACTTACCAAATTCTAGACTCAACCCAACCTTTAGGATAAGTCATTGAGTCTGAGACCCTCTTAAAAATTCAGATTGTTTTATCATTCCATACACTATAAGAGACCAGTTTATGGAAAAGGTGTTATGTGACTCGGGAGCTTGCATACATATAATAATTTTTTTTAATGTTTCGAAGACTAGGATTATAAGAACTTCAGCCTGTCACAGTGACCCTCCAATTAATTTCCCATTCTTTAACTTTTTTAAGAGGTGGGAGGGGGGTGGGGGGAAGTAGAAAAACTCATCTTCCTCGTTGATTCAATTGTGTTGGTATGAAGGAAGATGTTGAGATCCTATTATTTTTTACAAACCTTTTCTTACAACTTATAAAGCTAACATTGACTTACAAAAAAAGGGGAGTTAACTATTAGAGCACAAAAAAGGAAGTTAATTTTTTTATTCTTCTTCTAATACCACTCCTTAATTATACTCTAATCGATGTTTGAGATTGAAAATATAAAGGTTGCAAAAGATTTTAAATGAGAAGTCTGAAAAGAAAGGTTTAATATTTCAAAAGGAAGAAGATATGAGATCACAACAAAATGGACAGAAGAATCTCCATCTCAATTAAAATAATTGGTGAGAGATTGATGATTATTAAACTAGATATTTGTTCCTGAAGAAAAATATTAAGACTTGATTTGACATTGTTTAAGTGAGAACATTAAACCAAATACTATTTGGGAGACAAACCAAATATTATCTTGTTTATAGATTGAATGTGTATTAGTTGAGGATATTAGACAATATGTTTACTTGGAGGCAACCCAAAATATTTACTTTTTTGTGCGTATGTGTATGTTTTGCTTGTTAGAATCCCTAAAACCACTTACCTCTTACATAACTAAAGTGCTTGCTGTTACAATTTGACTTGCTTATGTTTTAGATCTTGAACATAAACCTGCATATTTTTTCACTTTAGATTTATGTCTATATTCATATAACTTCATCTTTTACTTTCATGTTAGTTATCTTGTTACATATATTATTTGTTATCATCTACTCTACATAGGTGAGTCACAAGTGTTACGTGCTACCGTTTGTGCAAAGATATATTTTTTTTGTTGCATACTCATGTTCTACTTTGCTTTACTTGTCTCCATTTTTTGTGGTATTCGCATGTGTAGTATTAAAAATAAATTTGGAGGAGAGAAAATCTATTATATTGCACTTTAAGTTAAAATCATGATCTAACTTGGAGTTTATATAAATTATAAGATAGAGGAAGATAAAAATAGAGGTGAATTTTAATAATAAGTAAGGAGGTGAAGCTTGAGGTAGGGTCAAATTAAAAGTTGGTATTGATAAATATTTCGAACAAGTTAATGGATTAAAAATTTTCCTAACTTAACCTTAAAATTTTAAAGTTAATGGGATAATAACAAAATTAAAATTGTTTAAGTGCATAGCTAATCAGAGCTAGGTGTGAAGTTTTAATTTCAGGAAATTCTAACCCTACTTGAGTAATTTAAAAAGGATTAAATAGATATTGTATTAATATGAATTATATTAGGATGTTAGTGAGTTGTATGAGAATTCTACTTGTACATATAAACCTAAGCGCTTAAGTTTAAATAATTACTTAATTAGTAGAAAATTACTAAATATCTTAATCTATAATACTCTACTATATCTATTAAATTATAAACTTAGATTTTGAAATTGCTGGGAGACAAACAATGTGTAAATTTGAGGGAATCTGATGTGTGTGAAATATGTGATAAAACTTATGAGAATTTTCTTCTTATTTTTTTTATCATTTATAATTTTTCAAATATTTTATGTGCAATTGCAAGATACAAAAGTTTATGAGGGCTTTAAAGACAACCTAAGATATTGAAGTGAAATAGAAGGAAACTCATTCAAACCCTAAACCTCAAGCCACCAGGCTACCATGCCTTGCCATGAGGGACTCGTGCGTGCCATATTTAGCTACACTCACTATAGTTCAGCGTGTACGCGCCACTTTGGGAGCCCCTTGACATCCTAACCCCTAGAAAACTGAACAATAGGCTCATTGGAACCCAAAAAACTTGGCTCCTAAGTGCCACACAAAGCATGTATGCACCGCTTATTGAGCGTGCCCGTGCTAGACCTTGCACATGTGTGCCAACTTTGGGGAGCCTAGGTACCACCTAAGGTAAGGCAACACTTCTTCTAACTCTAAGGCCCTGCATCCGAGATTCACAAGCCGTGCAGAAACTGAGATCTCAAGACTTTAATGTTATAGGGAAGAACTCTGGCGCCATGCGAGCTGATTTTGAGAGTTACGACAGTTCTGTCCTAGTGGCAATTTGTGGGTGCAATCCATGGCTTCAAAAGAGTTATTGTTTTAATGAAAATGGGCTTCACTCCACAGTAAAAGAATGCTTGACCCTTGAAGTGACACCGAGCGGAAGTATAAAAGTTTGGAGAGTCATCTGAGAATACTTGCAACGGACAACGTCCTTCATTAGAGGAATATTAGGAGAGTGTGAGAGATTGTGAGAGTTATCCCGATTGTTTACGAGAGGAAGACCAGCACCTGTAAAAAGAGTTGCAGGCAACATTTTGTACCGCAGTTCGGGCCAACTCTTGTAGTCGTTGCCACCTTTTGTCGCCGTTGCCTCTGGCAGCTGCCGCCGCTTTCGAATGTCACCCACAGTCAGCCTCCTACACCTATAGCCGCCAACAACTGTCGACCACCACTTATAGACTGTCATTGACCACACCCCTGCTCTTGTAACCACCGATCACCCCAATCACCATTGACCACAACTTGCCGGCCGCCATCAACAACTGCCAACAACCAAAATCTTAGAGTCATAAAACAACCTAAAAAGTGACACACCATCTCAAACGTAATACCAACCCCTAATACGGTGTCGTGAAACACTAACCATTCCCGATGTGGTCACTCCCAATCGTAGGGTGGCAAATTCATCTTTGAACCGATGTTGTAACTCGGGAGACTGTGCATCATCAATTCATATTGGATCTCTTCAACTGGGTCAAATCTTGTGTTTTTTTTTCCTTTCCGAACTTTTCACACAAGATCTTCTGTTGTTACCACCAGTTGTTTTTCCTTTACATGAGCTTGTGCAAATTATCTTGCACACATAAAAAATAAAAAAAATAAAAAAACATAAATAGATTTAAAAAATACCTAATGCTTATAAAAATCGCAACATTAAAGTCGATTAAATTATTAAAAAATATTTTTATCATAAAAGGTTTTTAAAATTATATAATAATTATTGCGAGACAAATTTATAAGGTTATACCAATTGTTTGAATAACTAAATCATGAAAATTAATGAATATAAATCAGAATTTATTAAAAAAAATTGATGCCCCAAAATATTATTTTCTTCTTCTGTAAAAATTGAAATTTCTAGGGGGTCCAAACACTCAGTCCGAACTAGGGGTGTACATGAGTCTTGCTCGGCTCGATAAGTTGTTGATGAACTGAGCTTGATGAGCCAACCAGCCAAGCTAAAGCCAACTAGCCTGACTAGACTCGTGTATTGGCCCGTTTAAGAAAAATATTCATATTAAATACACTAAAAAATATATAAAATTTTAAGAATTTATCTTTAAGTTATAAAAAACATTTAAAAATTAATATTTGTATTATATGTTAGATGCAGTTTAATTGACAACATATTATAAAACTAGCTTATATTAATATCAATTTTTTTTTATAATAAACAAGCTGGCTCGGAACGGGTTTGAACTCACGGATTTAAGCTCGGACTTGAACTTAAACTCGGTAAAATAATTAAACTCCTAAAACTAGCTTATATTAATATCAATTTTTTTTTATTTTGAACTCACGGATTTAAGCTCGAGCTTGAACTTAAACACGATAAAATAATTAAACTCACGCTCTAGCTGAGGATAGATCCAACTTGACCCAAGCGGTTCACACCACTAGTTCAAACGGTACCGACATGAAACCAATGCAACCTTATCAGCATATCGGAATGCTGCCACGTGTCATCACTGGAACGGCGAGATCGGATGGATAGAGCTTGTCCAGGCCGATGTAAAAAGGTCACCGCTAGGGTTTCGCATTTTCTCGTGCATATGGCACTGCCGCCGCCGAGAGGAACAGGCGCGGTGCCGTTCAGGGCTGCCCTCCCAATTCTTCCTCTCATATCTATCTAAATTTTTTTGCTTCTTTCTCTAGATCTATCACTTCTTCTCCAATCCATAAAAAGCAAAATAACCCGAGAAAATCAGAAAAAAATTATCTATCTAGGGTTAGCTACTGATAGAGGAAGGTTTGCTATCTTATACGCTCTACGTATTTTTTCTTGTAATTGAAGAATAGGAAAAGAAGAAAAAAAAGGAAGAAAAAGGAGGAAAAAAAGGTGCAGGTGAGGTTATAAGTGGTCGAGCAGATGTCGCAAATCCAGGTACCGCACCAAGGACCTGTATCAGGCCCTAGCGCGGCGACGCAGAACAGCGGCGGAGGTGCGTCGCAGTTCCCTTCGACCTCCCTTTACGTGGGGGACCTTGATGTGAACGTCACGGACTCGCAGCTGTTCGATTTGTTTAGCCAGGTTGGGCGGGTGGTTTCTGTGCGTGTCTGTAGAGATATCAATACCGGGCGATCGCTTGGCTACGCTTATGTCAACTACAGCAACCCGGTCGATGGTAAATTATTTTTCTAGATTTTGGAGGAGCTCTCTTTGTTGTTGTTGTTCTTCTTCTTCTTGCATGCATGTAGCTTCAAATTGGGATTTTGAGTGAGTTCGTGTCGCGTTAATTTTGGTGAGATGAGTATTCTTTTTTTACATCTTTTTCTTTCATGTAATTGCAAGCTGTGATTTTGAGTATGTTTTTATGTTAATTTTGGTGAAATGTGTAGCAGCTTTTTCTTAGCACTATAAACATTTTATTTCTCATTAGGAAGAAGAAGAAGAAACTACATATTACACTCAAGGATTCCAAGTAGTGATTCTTTAATCATGTCAGTTTTCTAAAGAAGTAGATGCTAGAAGCTAGGATGAGAAGATTTAGATGAAGCGGAAGGTGGAAGTTAGTTGAGAAATATATTTTGATGTATTCTTATTTAGCACTGCTGTATTTTTTAAAACGTGCAAAAAAGGAGAAGTTTTAAAATTTTTCGCTTGCTCATCTCGAACCCATTTTTTCAACTATGGCGTCTATGTTACTTGCTTGATTGCGTTTTTGATATTTTTGTTGAAGTGCAAAGTCAAGCAGAATGTGCTATTCAACTTGATCATTTCAATATTACTTATATATAATTTCTTATGTTTATGTTTGCACTATATATTGAAACATTTGGTGAGTATTGATCAAGCCTGCTTCTCAAGATTTAGTCAAGCTTGTTATTTTGTACTTGTTTATTTATAAGCAAATTGAGGTGTTTCCCTTCACTTCAAAGCTTTGAAGAGCCCACTTAATCATCTAACCTATTCTTTATAATCCAGTTACTTCTTTCTATAGTACATATGATTTGCCAGGTTTTCATTATCTGTAGTTTTTCCTTGTGATAATGTTGCCTCATCTTCATTAATTTTATGTCTTTATTGTTGTGCACTTCCAATGACGAATTGTTTTTCATTTTAAATTGAAATAAGTAGTACTGATTTATTCATTTCTTCTTGATTTTACTTTTAGCTTGCATGGTGTTTATACCATAACTTTTTCTTCCTTAGAGTGGTTGTATTTTTCATTGTCTTCTTTTTTTTGAATTTTTAATTCTTTTTAAATTTTATCTTTCCTGCATAATGCACTGTGTACATGTCAAGCAATGGCCTTATTTGATTTAATAATTCATTAATGATACAGTTTAATTTAATCACATGTAATTTGACTAAATGAAGCAGTGTTATATTGGGTACCGCTGCTGCATACTGTGTTTGAAAGTAAAAACAAATAAAAGAAAAGAAAAGTAGTAAAAAGCAGCCATTGCTATTTGAATCTATTAAATGCATGATATACCTTCAGTTGATTGGTTTTTGCTTTAACCTGCGTACTCCTTGCTTAAAATGCTTGGAGAATATTTCTGAGCTTCCCTTTGTACATTTCTATCTCTAGCTGATTGTCAGATTTTGCTGCATGTTTAAGAGTGGAGTTTGTGAGGAAGGTGGGTTTAATAATAACAGCAATTGTTGAAAAAAAATGCTTTTGTTGGGACCACACAAACAGTTTGATGACATCTTTCTATTTTTTAAATCGGCTTTCTAGATATAAGTTTGGTATCCATCACTTGTATTTGGTTTTTCATTGAATTTTTATATTTTTGGAATGCGATGATGCGACAATTATGATTATTTTAGGAAATTTAGTGAACATTATTTCCCTGTAATTTAAGTTGCAGTAATTAAGGAGACATCCAACGAAGTTAAGGTGAAGTTCATTTGAAGTTAAGGTTTGTGCTGGAGCTTACGGGCTAAATCAGGTAGATCAATATTAGGGGAACAGGCAGATATATGCTTTAGAAGTTTCAGAAGATCAGATTTGGTGTCATGGAAGTGTGTCCACAATCAAAGTGGATGAAACTTTAGCCCTTTCTAGTTAAATAGGACAATATTTAAACCTGTATTTAATGTGGAATCTGATCGAGGGATGATGTGGAACTTATGATCTTGATCAGGAGAGATTTTGGGCTATAAATGTCAGGAATGAGGTGGAGAGGGGAGATTTATGGTTGATTTATAATCATTTGGAGGTGAAATAAGTGATTGTTAAATAAGTGTGGTAAGAGGACTAAATCTTGCTTCTCCCTATGAAAGAGGATTAAATCTCTCCCTAAGAATATTTTAATGGTAGTTGAATTCTAATGAATTCATTCATTAAAATATGTCCAAAGTGTTCAAGGAAATATGTTAATAAAAACTAACAAAACATTTATTGTGTCTTATATGTCAAACAAAGACTAACATAATTATTCATTGGAACATGTACTTGTAGCATTCAAATAAATGTGTTAATGAAAGCTAATGAAATGCTTGACAATGTTTTGTAATAACCTAAAACAAGGGAGTAGCCTTACATAGTCGTTAACTTTAAAAGGTGGTCTATTATGAACTTATCTGCTTGTCTGCTTGTTCTATTCATCTGCGGTGAACATAGTGCTCTAGGTTTGAGCCCTAACCATGTGGACTATTTTTGTAAAACCTTCATGAGGTGATTAATGTAGTTTCCTATGAATGTGTATTTAGCCTGTGTTCTTGTTTCCTATAACATTATTGTTGTCAGCCAAAGATGTTATAGCCATCCCAATTAGTGTGGCTGGCACAGTTGTTGTAGTTTGTTCAGATGATTTGGTTAGTGAAGAGATGAAGCCAAGGCAATTTGCATAATTTTGTTTCATGCTGCATTAAACCCAGAAATAATCAACAAGATGATTTTTGGTTGACCCATCATAGTTGAGACCTATTGAATGGCGAGCCTATAGTTCTGGAGATCCTCTTAAATTTTGCTGATTTCTCACTCTCATTTGAGAGAGAGAATTTGCTCTTGCAAATTAAAATCATACTATAATTACAATTACGGAGTCCTTGCTGTTGATGTGAACTTGATGATGTAGTTGACATATTGATGTTAATCATCCAGGAAATTTAGTCGACCATTATTTTTGGTTTTTTCTATCTAGCAACTAAATTAAGCAATTTGTTCCCAAATGATCTGCTCAACCCAATTGCAAGCTACTATGGTCATTTATCTGATCCACGAATTTTGGTTGCATTTCTTGCCACTGCACACCTGAAGACTTTGGACTCATATTTTGCCTTTTGTAATGAACAATATTCGCGGGGCCCGACAAACTCTCACCATCAGTCTTCTACAGGACCTAAAATTTTTCAAATAGTAAAAAAAGACTATTTTCAATCCTACAGAATCTTCATCTCATTTTCTCCTCTATTTTTGTTGAATCTACAAGCTCTCAGAAAGTCACTTTCTCTCTCACATGCCACTGGAACACATTCTAGAAAGCTCCTACCTCAATTTCATTCTCTGTTGACATTGAGCTCTTGCCTCAAGCTCAAGTTGGGAATATAGGGACAAGCTAAGCTCAAGCTTGTCGTGTAAGATACACTCGAGCTCGAGCTCTAGTTTGAGCCAACGATTTAGTAGGTGAGCCCAGATCGAGCTGAATTCGACTCATATGTGCCCTCAATGCAACTTGTTGCTTTTTTTCATTTTTGCCATTCTTGGTTACCATCCCATGACTGCATTTTCTTACCATTTCATAACCATGTGGATGCTCACACAATTTTGCTAAATGTCAAAACAATATGAATAGCTTGTATTTTTGTATTAGAGATTTGATTAACTGGTTCAAAATGATTTATGTCCATTGGGTCTTTTGGAAATTGGTTCTTTTTGTATTTTCTAATAAGTGCTTATTTCTTATTTTCTTCATCAAACGAGCACGATTTGATGAAAAGATCTTTTGATGAGTGTTTTTAGTTTTTCCATCCAAAAGGTCAACAATAAGCGCTTCCACTTGCTATGTGATCTTCTATGATATTTCTTCCGCTATATTGATGTTATCAAAAGTGCTAGGCGCTGTTAGGTTTTGGGTTGTTCACACCTAAGGGGCTTGGTGCCAATTTATGTGCTTTTCCGTATGAATCAAGGCGGCAAAAAAACTTATCACCTTACTTTATACTAAAAAAAAAAAAAGGTTTTAAATGACTAAAGTAGTTTAACAAAATAATATTTTATCACTCATGGTCTAGAGATTTTGAAAGTTTTGCTAAAACTATTGTATTTTCATCCTCACATCATCATCTTCTTCGTTATCTCCATTGTCTCTCCCTTATTTGCAGTCTTCCATCTTTCCTCGCAACTTATCATCTTCGTCTTGAATATCATACTACTATAAAAATTAAATACCAATATGTAAATCTAACTTTTTCAGTTGCTCTCATTTTTTGTTCAACTAGGCTTTTCCATGTCACCATGTCAAATTGTCATCATGTGAAACTCATCTTCCTTTTTTGGTATTAGCGCTATCTTTTTAATGAAGGCAAAAACTCATCTCATTTGTGGATGCTTCGAGATAATGTGCTTCCTAAACAATACCTTTGCAGTCATTGTCTTTTTAATATTTATGAGATGTTATGATCTTGGCTTGCGGTACTTGGAAATGTGCGTGAGTGTGCACCTTGCCTTTAACTAAATTTTCGGTGCCTTCATCAATTGTAGTCTCCTCAATTCATCATGTTCTTCAAAGATTACTTCAAAAAGAAAGTTCTTATGCTATGATATGAAATGATTTGAAAATTGTGTTGAGGTGGCCAAGTGTTCATCCTACTTAAATTCACTCTGCTACTTCTGGAGCTTGTAAGCTTTAATCGGATAGATTTATGTTGTTGAATCCAGTGGATTAATATTACTCTCTTGTGTAACTTAGTTTATGGTTTAGGGTGAACCGTAGTTTCGATGGGATTTTGGAATTTTGATTCATTGTTTAAAGGGCAAAAGAGCCTATGGCCAATATGGATTAATGTTCTTTTTCTTAATGGTCGAAGTAGTAGCAATCAATTAGTGCTTATATGGAGCTTGATTGTGGGAGTTAGGATTAACTGAGGCTCGTTGCTTGGAGAGGTTTAGTGCTTGAAAGTTACGTTCATTATAGTGAGATTCCCATTATTTGTGGGAGAAGGGGTTATTTTGTTGGAGAGCAAGAAAACTTGTTGCTGGAGGATTGTGCTTCTCTTCTTTATAGTGAAACAATTATAATAATCTTATTTTAGAAACGGCTGATGGAATCATTCATTTGAATTTACTTGGAATGTCTGATCAAAAGATAAAAATCACTTAACACTGTTTGTTAAGGTCCTATTTGGGATTATTTTTTATTTTTTGTTTTATTTTGTTTTATTTTGTTAGTTTTTACTTAAAATGAAACATGTTTGATATATTATAATATGGTTGGTTATTTTTAAAAGCATTCAAAACATTTTTTAGGTGTTTTGAATATTTTTAAAAATAAATTTATTTATTTAAAAAAAACACAAGCATGCAAAAAATGCATTAAACAAACATTTTTAAAATACAAGCAAAAAAAAAAAAGTGATCCCAAATAGGCCTGGATAATCTAAACTTAGGAAATAACTAATCAACTACAATAAACAACCATCATGTGGTACCCTTTGGAGTTGGCGTCCCTTATTTTCTCAATACGATTGCCCCCCAGTGTTTGGAAATATATGGGTTGCGGGCTTAGTTGACCTACACTTTTTTTTGTAACTTTAGTTAGCTAAAATTTTGATCCAAGTCAGTTTTTAGCATTATTGTATCTTTGGTTTGCTCTTATTTCTGGTATGCAATTATCTCGTGTTGTGTCGCTGGTCTGGATATTGTCGGCAACCCCATGAAAGGTGGCTCACTAAGGCAATACAATCAGCCAAAATGTCATAGCCATCTCAAATAACGGGGGTCATTTTATTGTTATAGCCGACCTAGATGATGCGATAGACCCAAATGGCGCAGTTTATATAGTTCATTTGTATTCTCAATTAGATTATATTGTCTTTAACTGTATTGAATCTTGAATCTGCTGGGCTTGTTAATACTTTTAATTAGTTTCATAGCAACATATTATTTATATCTAGTTTCTATTAAATGTTTTATTTGCATTTATTATATTTTCAGTGTGACATATTTATAACTTAATATTATTTTTAAAATCTAAGCTATATTTTCTCTGTTTGCTCTCCTGTCTTCTTTTGCTTGAAAAGCTTCAATAGCATCATAAGGTGTCAGAATGTTGAACAATCTTACATTATTCTCACATGTGTTGCAGCGGCAAGGGCATTGGAGGTGCTAAATTATGCCCCCCTCAATGATAAACCTATTCGCGCGATGCATTCAAATCGTGACCCTAGTGCTCGCAAAAGTGGGGAAGCTAACATTTTTATTAAGGTACGTGTATTAGACTTTTCCATCCTTTCTTCTACCGGTTTTCTTATTGACTGGCTGTTAACCCATTTACTTCATTTCTTTCTTAGAGATACCTATTGTAAATAATTTTTTTTTCTTCTTCAGAACCTAGACAAGGCAATAGACAACAAAGCTCTTTACGATACATTTTCTGTGTTTGGCACCATTCTTTCGTGCAAGATTGCCACAGATGCTTCTGGTCAGTCTAAAGGATATGGTTTTGTTCAGTTTGATCGAGAGGAAGCAGCAAAAAATGCAATCGAAAAGCTAAATGGCATGCTTTTGAATGATAAACAAGTCTATGTAGGACCTTTCCTCCGGCAGCATGAAAGGGACAATTCTGCAAATAAGATGAAGTTTAATAATGTCTTTGTCAAAAACCTTTCTGAATCTGTGACAGAGGAGGAGTTGAGGAAAATTTTTTCTGAATATGGGGGAACTACGAGTGTTGTGGTGATGAAAGAGCTGGATGGTAAATCTAAATGCTTTGGGTTTGTCAATTTTGAGAATCCAGATGACGCTGCTCTGGCTGTTCAGGAACTAAATGGGAAGAAATTTGATGATAAAGAGTGGTTTGTTGGCAGAGCACAGAAGAAATCTGAAAGAGAACAGGAACTGAAAGAGAGATTTGACCAGAGTTTGAAGGAAACTGCAGGAAAATATCAATGGGTAAACTTGTATTTGAAAAATTTGGATGATAGCATTGGGGATGAGACGTTAAAAGAGGTTTTTTCAGAGTTTGGAATTATTACTTCTTGCAAGGTCTATTTAGTTTTGAAGAATCCAAATAATTATGTTTTAGTTATCATAACTTTTTGCGGCACATATGTTTAACATAGTAGCCTGACAGATCATGCGAGACCCTAATGGTATAAGCAAGGGTTCAGGATTTGTTGCTTTCTCAACACCTGAAGAAGCATCTCGTGCAGTGCGTACTTTTTTTCAATTTACAATTTTCATACTACATATGTTCTTTTATTATTAATTTTCTCCTTGATACAGCTTACAGAAATGAATGGGAAAATGGTTGGTATCAAACCTCTTTATGTCGCACTTGCACAACGTAAAGAAGAGAGGCGAGCTAGGTTGCAGGTAATTAATGTTAAAAATGGAATGAAATATTCCATATGTTGATGACTATGGGTTTTAGTTGGTTTTTAGTGACGTGAAATATAGGCTTTTTTGAGTATTTTTTTGACAAAAATATAGGCTATAAAAAATCCTCTTAGAGTGGAGAAGGCTAGCCTGGTATCTGGATAAGAATGCAACTTTGATAAGGGCTGTTTCTTAAAAGTGCGTTTATGCATATATGTATAGTTGAGAATATTAGCATTAATAAATACTTGTATAGATTACTAATGCAGCCATTCATTTATGTTAAATTGCTAATATACCAGTGCAGATACAAATACAGTTATATTTGCTTTTATAGTGATGCCATATATATATTGAGAAAAAAACACTCCATTAAACACAAAAAACAGTAAAAAGAAATACATTAATTATCAGAATAGTAATCATATATTGATATATGGCATTAATAATTGTTCAGCCATTATTTTTTAAAATTTAAAATGGATATGCTACTTAATGTATCTGAGGGATTGCAGCGTTTTATTTTTAAAATTTTGCAGCCAGACATGCCAAAACTGGTTTCTTTAATTATGTCTTTGGAGTATCCAAATATCTATTATGTCTAACAAGCAACATCATCAAATCTCTGGTTGTAGATAGAAATGTTGAGGGGTGATGTTAGATTGAGGGTCAATTTGAAAAAAAAAAAAAACTATTGAAAATTGGGCTTCTAGAAAAAAAAAAAAATTAATGTCATGTAACGTTTCCATAGAATGAATGGATGGTGAAATGTAAAACCTGCCACAAATTTTTGGGATAATTATTGTGTTTAGAGTTCAGGCATGACTCGGCTAATCTGTGAATACACCGTTTATCACTAAACGGGGCCTGATCCCTTATTTGCCAAACAAAACATGATGTGCAATCAAATTTGTCTTCCTTATTTGAATCTTGTTTTTCTCTTTGAACAGTTTTCATTCAGTGCATGCCTCTTCTTTTTCCTTGAAGTTGCTCGAGCAACTGCTCAATTTTGCAGAGTTTTCTGTTGATGTATTTTATATGCCTTTTATGAATTTCTTTGTTCATTTCTAACCTCATACGAAAAGCATACATGTTTTAATGTTTTATTTATTCTGTAATTTCTAGTTAAAATTACGATTTGAATGTACCATGCCATTGCTCTATCGAAGAGGTTGCCCATGTTTTTAACTTTTTACAGCTAGAATTGACAATCAATACTGCTTTGCAGGCACAATTTTCACAAATGCGGCCAATGCCAATGCCTCCTAATGTTGGTCCTCGTGTTCCCATTTATCCCCCCGGTACTCCTGGTATTGGACAACAGCTATTTTATGGTCAAGCTCCACCTGCCCTTATTCCCCCACAGGTGAAATAAATTTTAATTTGATCATCTAAACCCTTAGTAATGTAAAGTTGAATGAGCTGCATTCCGTAATGAGAGCTGTACTTTTGAAAGGGAGAATTTTGTTTGCAGTTATATGGTGAACATTTTAGCTATCCTTAGTTTTGGCAAAAATGGCCTAACTTGAATTTAATGATGGTTCACCGAAATTAGACATGTTTCATTTTACATTTTATGTTTAATTTTTAGCGACTGTTATAACATTATTTTGATTTATCATGATACTATAAGGGGCTCCTATGTAGATTTGCATGCCTGGGGTCATTCATCCTTATGCACATGAATATTACATGGAATACGTGTTGTTGTTGTGTTATTAATATCATGTATGCACTGGTAGTTAGTTCCTTTTTTCTAGAGGCAGAGGTTGGAGAGGTCTTCCACTTTCTTACTTTCATGCGGGCTTTTGATTCACCCAATCAAATTAATAACACGAAACTTCTTAATTAATATATTTTGTGTGCTGATTATAGTTTTGGTTTTTTTTTTTTTTTAATGTGGTGTATCACTTTGTTTCACTATGTCAGGTGATTAGTTTATTTATTCTTGAAACTTGAAAAGTGTCCAAATCTTTTTTGAGGTCCATTTTAATTCCAGAGCCTATAAAAGTGTCAAAATGGTGTCCGACTCTTTTTAGAGGTCCATTTTAATCCTAGAGTCTATAAAGTGTCAATTTAGTCCCCTGATTTTTTATTAGGGCCTAAAATAGTCCTCTTTGGGGACTACTTCAGCCCATACGAAAGAGTTTAGGGACTGATTTAACACATGAAATTTATATCTTATTTTGAGAGGTCTAATTGTAAATATGAAATATAGAAGAAGTCTAGTAGTTATTTGTAAAAGGATTATAAGATTCTATAGAAGCCCAACTTATGAATGAAGGAAAAAACGCTTTACTAAATTAATCATTTCTTCATGGTATCAAAGCCTTCTCTGCTGCTTCACGTTTTGGTCGTCGTCTTCCGATGAGCTCTGTTCCCGTAGTGTTCGGTCATGAAGCTGCGAGATCTGATCACGAGTCACGTCGTGGCCTTTTTCTTCTCAGTTGTCGGCTTGTTCTTGGCTTTCGGTGCCATCAAAAAGGGATCGAGTGGTGCGAGACAAGATTGGGAGGAGCTGGATCACACGACTGCGAAGGGAATGACGGGATCATAGTTGGGCTCAAACAAGCATGACTAGGAGCTTAACTTCTGCCATCAGAAAGGGATCGACCAGTGTGGCTCGGGAGGCGAGGTGGGTAGGAGCAGGATCACGTTACTGGGAAGGCAATAACGGGGTCTTAGCTCAGTGCAAAGCAGTCACAACTGGGAAGGCAATGACGAGATCGCTGCTCTCTGGGAAGGCAATAACACGTCGCATGACTGCAAAGGCAATGAAGGGATCACAACATGTTTAGGAGCTTACCTTCTGCCATCAGAAAGGGATCGAGCAGTCTGGCTCTGGAGGCGAGGTGTGTAGGCGCAGGATCACGTTACTGGGAAGGCAACAACGGGATCTTAGCTCGGTGCAAAGCAATCGCAACTGGGAAGACAACGATGAGATTGCTGCTCTTTGGGAAGGCAACAACACGATTGCAGTTTTCTGGGAAGGTAACGAAGGGACCGCGTCTTGCTAGGAAGGCAACCTGCAAATCACAACGTGAACACTCACAATACGATCGTGATTACAACTAGTTGGGAAGTCAAAGACGCTTACACATGCCCTACGACTGAATTGATGACACCTTTGGCTGTTGGATTGCATAGAGTGGTTTGAGCAGCTTGGTGCAAGACAGGGTATAGTGAGCTTGAAATCAAAACAGTGGAGAAGAGAAATTTGGTTCTTAATGTGTGAGAGACCGATGAAGGCTACGTGAGGAGAGTTGCATGAGGTTACACTCTGAGCCAAACAGACTTCTGTGCGATAAGCTTTGGTTGCATTAAACTCAGGTATGACAGGTGCCTAGAGAGAGACCCGCAGCTGCTTGGCACCACTGCTGTTTCTCTTTTTGTAATTTTATGAAATGTATTGTTTTGTTGTGTGTTTCATATTTTCCTTTTAAATCACTGTCACAGGTGGCCTTTAATGCACTTTCCATGATTTTCCAGTGCTATAATAGTTTACCAATTACCATGCTGTCTTTTGGAAAGCTACATGATATGTATATATATATATATATATATCTTGCAATCCATTATAATCAATTAAAAGCATTAATTAAGAATATAGAATAAAAATTATTAAATTAGATTCAATTGATGTTTTAAATCTTACCCTAATCTTTAACATTTTATGACTGCGTGATTAGGGTTGTCGAAACGACTCTTTGCTCATGAACTGCTTCTGTTCGGTTCACTAAGCAAACGAGCCGAACACATACTTTTTGAGCTTGAAATATAAACGAGCTGGGCTCGTTCGTGTTTGGCTCGTTTACACCCCTAGCTTCAACTGTGCAGAAATGGGATACTTGAGCATGTCTTGTTCAAAACCACCCAAGAAGAGAGATAGGTGGAGGTGGGGGCCCAAGGGGTGGAAGAGGGGGCTACCGGGCAAATTTAATAGTAGAAAAATACAGGGGAAAGACACAAGTAGTCTTTACCAATGAGGATAACGAGCGTCCAAGGGAAACACTGCTAGTTATGCTCACTCAGCCAAAGGTACTTGTGGTACACATGCTCTTGTCTCTATATCTATCGCAAGATCACCAAAATAAATAGTAGACTTTGGCGCATTATGTGACAGGTATGGGGGCCCAAGGGGTAGAAGAGGGGGCTACTGGGCAAATCTAATAGTATAAAAATACAGGGGAAAGACACAAGTAGTCTTTACCAATGAGGATAACGAGCGTCCAAGGAACACTGCCAGTTATGCTCACTCAGCCAAAGGTACTTTTGGTGCACATGCTCGTCTCTATATCTATCACAAGATCACCAGAATAAATAGTAGACTCTGGTGCATTATGTGACAGGTGCCGCTAGTGAGTTCACTTTCTATACTCACCTAGCAATTTCAGAGAGCATTTGGACCGTTGATGGTACAACACAACTTGCGATTGGTAAGGGTATAGTGAGGTGTACCAATTATGTAACTTTTTTTAATGTTTTGCATGCTTCTTTCTTTTCAATGAAACTTTTATTCATTAGCTTCATTATACTTTAATTAAAATGTGTTGTTTTATTTGATATTCCATAGGTGATCTTTCAAGAGAAAAAGACTGACCGAAGATTTGGGACTGCACTTGGGCATAGTGAACTTCGGTACTTGGATAGAGAGGGGATGGACTTAGCCTTGATACCATGGTTGAGAATGTTGGAGCAATAGGATCTAAGAGGAGTGTGGAGGATGTTTTGTTACTACATCACAGATGCATGAGACACTTTCTTTATAGTCTATTTAGTCGTATGTATCCATCATTGTATGGAAAGACAAATAAACAAAAATATGTGCTATGTGTGTGACTTTGGTAAGAATGTCAGGAGCTCTTATGTTATGATAAAAGAAGTTCTTATGTTTTTGAATTAGTGCATTCAAATGTATGGGGGCCTTATTCTACTATTTTTAGGGATGTTACATATATTTTACTTTCATTGATTATTTTTCTAGTGTTACTTGGTTATATTTTATGAAAAACAAAAAGAGATGTATTTACCTTCTTTAAAGACTTTCACAATGTCATTAAGACTCAATTTGGTTCGGTAGTGAAGGTATTAGTGTATGATACTGAGATATAGTATACCAACAAGACATTTGAGGAATACTTGTCAGCCCAAGGAATGCAACATCAAATCATATGTTCATACACACCGACATAAAATAGAATAGTTGAAAGGAAGAATAGACACCTTTTAGAGATAATTTGAAGCATGATGATCACAATGAATGTCACAAAGCACTTGTGGGAGCAAGCATTTTGATAACTAGTCAATTTATCATTAAAATGCCATCAAGAGTTTTAGATTAGAAGTCTTCCTGTCAGATGTTGAAAGGAGATAATAGTGGAATCCTTCCATTGAAAGTTTTTGATTGTGTATGTTTTATGAATGACAATATACCATCAGTAGGGAAACTCGATCATAGAGCTGTGAAATATGTTTTCCTGGGTTAGTTTGTTACAAAAAAGGGGTATGTTTGTTTGAATCTGATAGAGAAGATATTATATGAGCATGATTTTGTCATTTAGAGAGTTTGAACCGCACTACACTTTGGAGGTGGCCCTACCCTTTGGTGGCTCATCAGATACTGGAGGTATGAGGAGTGAGGAGGAAAGTAGCGATGGCCAAAGATTGATGCATGTGAGAGCGATGCCTCGTTCTGTTGTGTGGGAATAATTAGCTGAGGAAGTGCCAAAAAATGAGGAAAATGAGGATGAAGGTGGAGGGATTCAAGCTCAAAGATAGTTGAGAGTGTATACGAGGAGAGAATGACGGAATAACGCATGTTGTGCCACTTGTGCCATCAGGTCTGAGAACAGTGTCTACCGTGTTACTCGTGTCATCAAGTCCTTTGTCCTGGTTTACCCTGACTCCTGAGACACCTACACCTTCCACTTTAGAATTTAATTATCTATGTGATATAATTCGTCCCTCTTCTTGTCCCACTCCCATGGTTTTAAGGAGAACCTCTCGCAGCAGTGCGGGTCATTCTCCTGATTATTTTAGTTTCTTACATGACATTGCTCAGTTTGTCTTATAATAACATATCAACTTTACACGGAGCATTCATTGCATCCTTAGACATTGTCTCTATACCCGTGTTGGCAGGTAGTTAAGGAGGATCCGAAGTGGAAGGTTGCTATGCTGGAAAAACTTGGTACTTTTGATAATAACATGAGTTAGTATCATTATCAACAAGGAAAAGAGTTGTTGGGTACAAGTGGATCTTTACAGTAAAACAAAATTCATAAGGGATAGTGGAGCGTTACAAGATATGATTGGTGATGAAAGGGTAAGTCAGACATTTGACATTAATTATGACGATACATTTGCAACGGTATTGAAGATGAGCACAATGAGGATATGCTTGTTGAAATGATGGTCGCATCACTATGCTTGTTGTGTATGTTGATATGATTATCACTGATGATGAAGAGGTAGAGATTGTTTAACTAAATGTTAGATTGGGCAAAGATTTTGAGGTGAAAGACCTTGTACAACTCAAATATTTCCTTGGTATTAAGGTGGCTCGTGGATTAGAGGGGATGAACTTATTTTAGAGAAAGTATAAACTAGTTCTCACAAAAGCAGACATTCTGGGATGTAAGTCTGCAGTCTCTCTAGTTGATCAAAAAACCAAATCGAGTTCAGAGGAAAGAGAGCAGTTGATCGTGAGAGTTACCAGAGATTGACAGGTCATTTGATCTATCTGATTCAAACGTGTCTCACCATCTATTTGAACGGAGTGTGGTGAGCCGCTATATGCATGAACCAAGGAATGGTCATAGATTCTGAAGTACTTGAAGAATGCACTAGGGAAGGTGCCGATCTTTAGGGAGAATAGACACACAAACATTGAGGGCTTGTGATACTGAAGGTGGCTACTTGGTCTATTGGAAGAGCAAGAAACAATTTTTAGTAGTGAGGTCAGTCGTAGAGCCGGAGTATAAGGCGGCCTTAGGAGTTGTCGAAATGATGTTGCTAAGAGCCTTGTTCGTTGAGCTCAAGGTGGAACTAGGAAATCAAATGAAGTTGTGCATCACGATAGAATCAACATGTGGAGATTGATAGCCTCTTTATCACGGAAAAGTTGAATAATGAGCTATTGGAGCCAAGTCATGTAGGCATTGGAGAGCAAGTAAAGGACTTAGTTCAATAGGTTTTGTAGATTATGCGACAAGATGGGCTTAGTGGATAACTTTTGTCTAACTCATGAATTAAGGAAAAAATGCTTTACCAAATTAATCATTTCTTCAAACACGTGCGTACTCGGAAACTAAAATGAGCCCATATAAATATATAAGGACTATTTTGACACTTTACTCTTCTTGAAACTTAGGTATGATATTGAGTGAGTGTTCTTAATCAGCGTTATGCACTGACATATACTTCTCTTGCAGCCTGGGTTTGGTTATCAGCAGCAGCTTGTTCCTGGGATGAGGCCTAGTGGAGCTCCTATGCCAAATTTTTTTGTGCCCATGGTTCAACAAGGCCAACAGGTCCAGCGCCCTCCTGGTGGTAGACGTGGTGGAGCAGGTTCCATTCAGCAATCACAGCAACCAATGCCTCTACTCCAGCAACAGGTGGATCTTCATAATTTTTTTGATAGAAAGTTTTCTTATAGTTTTTGGCTACATATTCTTTTGTTAGTAGATTTATATTATCATTATCATTTACAGTTCTTCTTGGCCATACAATCTTTTGTTACTGTTAAGTTTTGCTTGTGCGATTTCTGAATAATAGAGTGAATGGCAAATAAAGATGAGTTAATTTGATGATTATTAACACTGTAACATCGTTATATAAATAGCCCCCGGATTGTTAACCTGGCACCATTTTAGTCTCTGATTATATAGAAGTGTGAGATTAGTTCTCAGACTCTTTAAAGTGTGGCTGAAATTGTTTTCTTTGGGGACTATGAGTTCATGCTAAGTGTATGAATACTAAATTAACACTCTTTTAAAGTTTGGGACTAAATGCCCTCCTGTAAAGAGTTGGCACTTTTCTCGTTTTTTAATGGAATAAATCCCAAAATGCTCCCCCGTGTACTCGATTGCGACCTAGTAGTCCTAGAGTTTTGAAATGGTCCAATTTAGTTCATCAGTTATTAAAAATTGATCTCAGTTGATCTATCATGTAGAAATCATGATATAAAAATGGTTCCAATTTAGTCCCTCAATTCTATAGATTTGATCTCAATTTAGTCTATGAACGATCAATTTTATAAGTCGGGGGGACTAAATTGGAGCAATGTAAAATTCTTGGACTAAATTGCTCACATATAAATAGTTGGGAGATCATTTTGGCGTTTGACCCTATTATTAAAATGTTGTGATAGGCCAAATCTTGTTAATCATAAGGATACTACTTCTTTGGTCATGCTTTAGTTCTTTTAGTTTTTTGTTTCTCTTCTGGCTAGAAGATACAGAGGTCAAATTCATCCTCTTATTTCAAGTTTATGGGCTTTTCTGTGTTTATGCTTGTACTAGGTGAAAGATACCAATGGCGAGCTTGCTTTATTATAAAGAGATACTGGATTTTCTATAATGCTTTTGCTTTTATGATAAACTAACTTATTGTAGAGTCTTGCGACTGTATCTTTGCATCTTTTGGATGCACCACAGATGCTTCCAATGGGAGGACGCTTATACAGATACCCGCCAGGTCGAAGCATGCCTGATGTTCCAATGCCGGGTGTCGGAGGAATGCTTTCTGTCCCTTATGATATGGGAGGAATGCACCTGCGTGAGGCCCCCATGTCACAGCCTATTCCCATTGGGGCTTTAGCTTCCGCTCTCGCAAATGCGCCGCCTGAGCAGCAGAGGCTGGTATGTTTCAAGATGAAAGCCGATACGCCATTTAGAGTACCACCTTTTCTCGTGCCATATTTTGAACCAGGGTTATTGTTATCATTCATAATTCCAATGTATCTGACACCTAAAGTTCAGTTTATATATTTATACCACCCAAATCATTCATATTACATAAAAAATAGCACTGTTTTGACTTTTAAAAAGTTAAATACACCATTTCATGCATAGTATGTATGTAAAAATTGAAGTTTTGGTGTTTGATCTGTAAATACATTGGAATTGAGTGGTATGTATGTAAATATTTCAAGAACCTTTTGCTTAGCTAGGACCATTATTCCCATCTATTTTTGACTCGGTACTATGTCTCATCCTTCTCTCTATTATTAGTGGCATTTACATCCATACCACCCCATTCTCATATATTTTCTTATCTAACACACAATATTTACATTTTACATTCATACCACCTAAATATTTCATATCTTATAAAAAATGCCACCATTTTAACTTTTAAAAAGTGCAATGCATGTAAAAAATTAAACTCTAGTTGTTTGACATGTAAATACATAAGAAATCCTCCTTTTATGTTATTGTGTTGTCTATTTATCTTAGCATTCCTGACTGCAGATGCTTGGAGAAAGCTTGTACCCACTTGTGGAGCAGCTAGAACGCGACCATGCGGCGAAAGTGACTGGAATGCTGTTGGAGATGGACCAGACTGAGGTGCTGCATTTGCTGGAGTCTCCGGATTCTCTGAAAGCAAAAGTTGCGGAGGCGATGGAGGTTTTGAGGAATGTCGCGCAGCATCATCAGCAGTCCAGCAATACGCCTACCGATCAGTTGTCTGCGCTATCTCTCGACTGATAAGCCTTAAGGTATTTTTCATGGCTGGGCAGCTAAAACTTTGGTAGGTGGTTTTTTTTCTTTTTTCTTTTTTCTTTATTTTTTTGAATGGAATGGATGAGTGGAACTATATATACTTTTTGTTTGTTTTGTTGTATTATTTGGCTCTATTTTCTTTGTGAGATTATGACTGATTATTGTGGTGTGTAAACTTGTTATCTGTTTTATGTTTGTGGTGGTAAACTCTGTGTAAAAACCAATATTTATTGTTGGTTATATCCTTTGCTGCTATTATAATTGATTATTTGGTTGTGCATGGCTATTTATTTGGTCATAAATTTGAAATCCTGTGGAAAAGGTAGGGGATACTAACCATTTATCCAAGTAAAGGAGCCTCTCTTAGAAGAGAAAATATTTTGTTCAGAGTCGTCGGACTTGATACAGCTGAGGCCTTGATACAGCTGAGGCTGGAGCTCCTGCTCTGCCTCGTTGTTTGGACACAGTTGACTCCGAACGCAATATTTTTTCCTCGTAGACTATATACCTGACCCTGGCTATTTATTTGGTCATAAATTTGAAATCCTGTGGAAAAGGTAGGGGATACTAACCATTTATCCAAGTAAAGGAGCCTCTTAGAAGAGAAAATATTTTGTTCAGTCGTCGGACTTGATACAGCTGAGGCCTGAGCTCCTGCTCTGCCTCGTTGTTTGGACACAGTTTTGACTCCGAATGCAATATTTTTTCCTCGGAGAAGATATACTTGACCAACAAATGTCTCAAATGACCTTTTATTTGTATGTGTGCGCTTTGAAATCCCTTTGGGAATCATTACACATATTGACATGCACAAGTACACAAATTAGGAATGTTTATATTGCACCGATGTTTTATTGTTAGTAGTCGTGCAGTATTCATTAGTGTCCTACATCCAGCCCAAACATGTCAAAAATGTCTGGTGTCCTTATAAATTAAAATTAAAATGTATAATAAATTTTATTTATTTTTTGTGTAATATATTAAAAAGTTGTTAATGATAATGTACTTTCAAATTTTAATATTTTTTGTTTTTAATTTACTTGGATCTTATGAATCATATAATGATCTTTTATATATTTTAATTTAAATATCGTTATCTTTTAAATATTTATAATGTTAATATTTTTTATTTATTTCATATTTATTTAATTTAAGTAAGTAGTATATATTATTTTAAATATTATTTATAAGGTATATTTTGAAAAATAAGCAATTAGTTTGTCCATTTTCCTGTAGTCATATCCATGCATTCTGGCATGAAGCCTGCATTTTAAAAAGAAGGGAAAAATGTAATAGTAATTAATTTGTTATTGTTATGGTATGTATTCTAATATTTTATTTATGTTATAAAATTTTCATAATATATTTTTATATGACATTATGATTGTCATGTATATTTAACATATTTTTTGTATCATAAATAATTTACTATCAACAAATTTTGTCATTTGTTATAAATCTCGATGTGTGGTATGAATCTCAGAGTTTTTTTTTAGAACTAGACCTTAAAACGTAAATTAAAATTCATTCAGGCTCTGATTTCAGCCAATTTATAGTCAAACGGACTCTAACTAACTGGTTCGATGAGATGAACTCATTGTCATAACAATTAGTCTAATTTGTGTCAGATTTTATGGTGGTTAGTTGAAGGGTCGAATGAATTCCAAATTTGATAAGATTATAGTCGAATTAAGCTTCTCGATTAAACGATTCTAACGAGGCCAATATCACTCATTTTTGACATCATTTAGGCACTAAAATGATCACAATATGTGGTGTGGGTGTGATCATGAGAACCTCTCTGAATCATCTTATGGGGTTGTTTGAATTTTTTTCTTGATTGCAGAGGAGGCGCTCCTAGACTCTATATTTAAAACACGTGTTGACAAGGTTATACCATCGCGGTGGTTGATCGAAGTTTAGTCGTTGCTCGGGAAGAAGCTTTTTTTATTACGAAGAGATTCCAACGATGCTCCAGGTACTAGGCTTCGCTCCCCTTGGGTAAAGAAGCTCTCTTTGCAAAGATTTTTCTGGCGCCGACACAACACCACATCACTCTTCCTTTCAATTTTCTGTGATGGAGACGACTATCGGGAAAGAGAGTGCGAGAGGAAGAAGGAAGAGAATTGGAGAAATGGAGGATGAAGAAGATGAATGGAGAAGCTTTGAGAACTCTCCAAAAACTCTCCAAACAGTAGCTCCTCAAGCTCTTTGCTTGTTTCTCGGACCAAGGCCGTGACCAAAAGAAAGGAATGCGAGAGAAGGACAAAGAGGAAGGAAACAAAGAATAGGAAGAAGAAGCCGGGTGAAGAAGCTATCCCCAAACTCTCCAGTTGCTTCTGGTGAACCCCTCTGCAGGACGATATTCTCAGTGGAATGACAATTTGCCTCCTTTGACAACCACCCGAGCTAGCTCATAGGCCATATTTGGCTAATAACCGGTCCAACGACATATCCCGAAGATCAGAAGGCATTCAAAGAAAAAAATAGAGACTAACTGAATGAACCAAGTGAATGAGGTTGCATGTGTAACGTGGCCATGCCACAAATGGGGTGTGGCCATCCCTAGGCGAAGTCTCGCCCATGCGGTCATTGTCACACCTACCTACATGGGGGTTGTTTCCAATTTTTTGGCAATTCGAGCCAAGTGGCAATACTTTGATGACCATCCCTAAGCGAAAATGACATTTTGGATGCATCCACGTTGTTTGTTCTACCACCCTGAATCATCTAAAAGATGATTCTACACGAGGAAGTATATTCAAAGACTGATTTGTTCGCTTTTCGTCAAACAAAACTCATCTAGTCGGGGTTGTCCCGTCAATGTAATGTCGACCAGCCCTCGGCACACAGACCGTTAAAGCCTAGCAAAACAATCTTGGCTGCATGCCCGAGGATCGAAGATAAATGTTTTGACCCTTGGGGAGTCATATTTGTGTGACACACGCTCTAAGGTCGTTTAAGCGGACATCCAACACTCACGATATCAAAAATTGAAGGCAACACCATCAATCAATTTCAACATGCCATGAAAATTGATATTGAAATCATAAATTCTAAGGAGAAACACTTATTCTTGTATGCATTTATAAATCAAGCACAACATAACATTCATTTCACCATAATTATAAAATTTCATAAACAATTCAATAAAAAAATACAATTGTTGGCATCAATTTTTGATGTCGTAAGTGTAAGTTGTCAACTCAAACACTTCAAAATCTTGTTTAATGATTGTGTTGATTCCAGTAGCACAAGCCATCCATTTGAGACCCTTCGACGCGTGTTGAGAGACATTTTATCGAGATCGATCTGTTAGACGTCGATGATCACTCAGATGATGACTAGTCGGCATTTTTATACGGTGATCGACTTCGTGCGGGCCAGATTTTCTCATTCACCGCACGAGGCGTGAAACTAGCTCAAATTGACTCCTCCACCGACGGACTTGTCTCGATGACCTCAGATGACAAAACATACGGCACGAGCGTGTTCGAAACGTTGATTTTATAGAAGAGAACACTCATATTATTAAGTTTCCATGGACTGGCATAAAATACACAAATCCAGGTTTTTAAGTATTAAAATAATATTAAAAAGAGAAAAATAATAATAACAAAAAAAAACCACCCTATTTAATCCGTCGTTTCCTCCCCGTCGGCCGAACAGGAATTCCCTCCGTGCCCTTGCCCTCGCGTCGTGCCGCTCTCGCCCAATCCTCGTTCTCGCGCCCAAAGCTCGCCACCGGCGCTCCTCTCCGGCTAACGAAGCTCACGTTGACGTCTCCTCGGCTCCGGAGGGCCTACCATTGGCTTCGCAGGGACCGTTCGGTCCGTGCCGGCATTGTTTCCACGGCCTCCCTTGACTCCAGCGCCTTGCTCTAGCCAAACCTAGCTCGCTCTCACGCTCAGCCACAGTCTGCTCGCTTCCCTCCTTGCTTCACGGCCGCAGCACCCTCCTCGGCTTCATATCCCGTCGGCGAAGCCTCCTCCAACGTGCAGACCTCCCACCGGCACTCTACAGACGGCCTTTGCTTCCTTCGCATGCAGAAAGTAGGGCTGAGATTAGACCCTCTCCCTTGCATGCCTCGACGAGCTACTTCTCCACCTCTTCGTCCCTCACTCCCCGGTGGTCGAAAACTTTGTCGGAGTACTTAACCATTGACAAACATTGACAGTACCACAGCTTGAAGTGGTGGGGACGTCTTCTCTCTTTGCGAAGAGAGCTTCTTCCTGGAATTCGCCGAATGAAGAGCAACCAACGCAACGGTATAACCCCCTTGGACCCTCTGTTTTTGACGTTTTAACTAGCTCTAGGGTTTAGTCTTGCTAGGCGTGTGAGTTCGATCACCCGCACGAGGTGCCTGTATCGACCGACGTTAGTCAGGCGTGTGAGTTCGATCACCCGCACGAGGTGCCTGTACCGACCGACGTTCGCGACCACGTACATTTGTGATGGATCATTGTTTTCTGTAGAAGGGGCCCCAAAGTTATGATATTTGTACGTGGCCGAACACTCTCGTAGAGTCAAGTGATTCCCTCTGTCAATCTCAACACAAAATTATGGTGTATCGTAGCCCCTTTCTCTCCTTTCTTTGACTTCCCCAATTTTCCTCAGAGAAATCGGGAGGTAGAGCTTTGCAAAGTGAGAAAACTTTGTTGCTAACTCACTTTGCAAAACCTTGAGAAGTTGCGAAATGAGAAAAGTTTTGTAGCTATCTCATTTCGCAACATCGTGAAGAGCTTCTCCCTCGAAATCCCTATGGAAAAACTCCCCAAATGCCTTGCTAAAGCAGCAGTCGGCGATGTCGCACACCTAAGTTTCACACCTTAGGTTCCTACGAGAGGACGTTAGCATGAGCATGGTTCGCTATCAAGCGTGTTTATTGGCTTTGGATTACATTGCATCTTGCTTGTAGCGTTTTTGCACTTGCACCTTGCCTCGTCTGACAGCCTTGTTCGGGTCGGCATCTTACTTTGCCTTGACCAGTTGCCCTGACCCGGTCGATATGTCAGTTCGCCTCGACCGAACACCCCTGCCCAGTCAGCATCCCAGTTCGCTTATATCGGCCGCCACGACTTGGTAGCCACTTTGGTCTGACCGATTCCCCCGACTCAGTCGCCCCACCACTTGCATGGTGCATGTTTTTAATATGTACATGTGTGTGCTTGCTTGCTTGTATGGTGCATTGTAGGTAGTGTGTGTTAGCTTACATGATTATTATCACTTGCTTGTGCTGCATATCTTTGGGTCATTGTCTCCACGACATACCCAGTTGTGGGCAAATAAAATGGTTTCACAGACTAAACAGATGTCATATATTTCTTAGTTTATTTGATCAAACATCATCCTCAAGCCTTGTGTTTATCCTTCGGGATAGATACAAGGTTTGAAGTATAATGCTCTTTCATTTAAACTATGAAAAATATGGGATCAGTTTGATTTCATGTTTTTCTAAAACTTATATATATATGTAAATTAAATGTCATTCTAACGGGCAACTTCTCAACTTTTTAGTGCCGACAAGAAGAAATATATTTTTTTTAAAAAATCATATATGTTATACTTTAAAAATTCCGCATATAACGAAATATACCATATTTAAGGCCAATAATTTTAAAATATCATCTTGGGTGACATCCTTTCGATCCCTTAGATATTTTGGATATGGCCAGCAAGGCGAACACGCCAAATTCATACTTTATCCGGAGACTTACCCCATACTTAAATTTTGATTATGACACTTTCTCGTTAGATGATATGCTAGGCTAGGGTTTAGGGTGTTAGGTATTCATTTTCGCCGCCTCTGAGTATTGTTTTATGTTGTTTTTTTTTTTGCTATTATGTTAGTCATGCATCACTTTTTGCAGTTTTTTTTTTGTATGCTTGCATGCTTGTTGTGCATTGTAGTATAATAGAGCCTTATTTTGCAGGGTGTCGTGTCTATACATATGAACACACATAGATACAATAAAAGACGGAGTCTGTAATGATTTTTAATCATTTACTTGCAATTCCCATTAACTCTCCATTTATAAGACAACTTATTTCACGTTGAATGATTTTCCAGCTAAAGCTTGTTTTCTGCAAGTCTAGTATTTTATTTTTTTCTTTCACATGTATTTGATGAAGTCTTCAGGACGAGTTTGTATCAGAAATAAGGTACAAACACATGTTTCGAGGTGGATGATGGATCAAATCACGTGACGGGGATCATGAGCAGTTGCTTGTGTCTCGTACCTTAAGTTCGAATTATATATTCTTTTATAGAATTATGACCAGTCATTTATATGCGAAGTTTGATCGTTTTTGATGCTCTTCCTTGGATATGTTGCAACTTAGCGGCATTTTGGGCCTTTTTTATATATTTAGGAGTGCATTCTTTTCTGTGTGCTTTGCATGCCTGAATTGTCTTTATTGTTTATTTTTGTGCATTTGAGATTTCAAGAAAATTATAATTGTGGTACATTAAAGACCCATAAAGTTACAAGTTTTCTACTTAAAAATTCTAAATAAAACATTCAAGATAAATTAAAATTTAGAATTAAAAGGTTCAAAATTTTTAAAATCTATTTTTACTTTTTTGCATGACCCTCAGGTCGGATTTTAAACGCGTTGCATTGCATGACTATCATCCAAGCCATTTTAATAGGGCATTCACAAAATCTAAGGATCATTCTGTATAGCTGCATAATATTTGCATGTCTTGAGGAGGAGCCCCGTGCTTCTTCAACTTGGCTGTCCCAACATATCTTTTTTACATAGAAATTTGTCTAGTGCGCCTAGGTCGTTGCTACCCGACTCTGACGGGATTTAAGTCCTTTTTTTGGAGTGTTTCTAGCTTTGTAGCTGAACATCATTCCTTGTTTTCCTGAGATATCCCATCCACTTTGGTAAATGTAAGACTCATATCTTGGAGCGCTAGCCGATATTTATAGGATAGAGTTTTGTTCCTCTGGCCTTAAGCTTATTGAGGTCATAGTGGACGACACAATTTACGGAGTGCTAACCGGAGATCTCAAGACGTGTTGGGCCGACTATCTTCACGAATAGATAGACTTGATGTCTTAGTGGCTTGGGATGATGGGTCTGTGATACTCTGACCTGACTACCTCTACCTTATAGGGATTGGTCTTTCCCTCCCTTGACTACCTCTATTGAGCCCTTTCTCTTCCTTTTGCCTTTGTTGGCATCACCTCAACGACTCGATGCTGATAAGCTGCCGCCTGTTTGGGATGCGACAATTTGTCCTCTACCCTTATGACCAGAATGTGTTTTGACGTATTAGGATCCCCCGTTGGGATGATTCAGTTATTTTACAAGCTCTGTGTCGATGAGCCAGTACCCACTTGGGATGTGAGAGACTCATTCTCTGCCTGATGACTTAACGAAAACTTAGAAACATCGGAGCATTCCCCCTGTGAGATAATTTCCTTTGATTGCCTTGTGTTAGTTGTCATTTTCTGGCAAGCAAAACCGATTTGGATCAACAATATTCTTGGACAACTTTCAATATGTAATTAACCAAATAAGATACGTCTCATTGGAACCATTCATGACCCTAAATCAAACACCTACACCTAAACTTCTGGTTATGGGTAGCATACATAGACATTCTTTCGCGGATTTTGGTCAAAGGTGTTTCCGCTCGATCTTGTTTGGACGGGTATACTTGACCTATCCTTACGAGGTTTAACGCACGTAGACTCTATACGTTTTATTTTTTCTCTCGCTTGTTGTTTTGTCGTATGTCCGTCTTTTTCGGTTCCTCTCTTTTCTGGACCATTCATATGGCCCGAAAGAGAGGCTTATCCGCGCAAGGAAAGTATACGATGATTGACAGACCAAAAATTCCATCAAAAATAAAAAAGAGAAAAACAAACGAAAATAACAATATAATGGAAAATGATTTTGTAGATTCTATATAAAATTCCTATCTCCAAGTTCTCCTTAAACTTGTTCTTGTTTCCTTTTTGATTCACTTGACAAAGTAGTTCTTTGCACTCATTTCACACACTCTTATATGGAATTGATTTTTATTAGATAAAATTCAAATCCATAGTTTTTTTAACCAATTTTTTCCCCAAATCCCAAATGCAAGGATTGTCTCCAAATAGAATTTCTTAGACTTAGTCTGGTTGAGGCTTGCATTTGACAAACCTAGCCTATACAAAAAAAAAATAATAATAAAATAAAATAAAATAAATCAAAATCTACAAATCATTAACTCGCATAATTATCTTCAACATCCTTGAGTTTAGTTAGTAAAGTTCTTCAAATTTTTTTTTTTTACTTTAAATTATCACAAGTTCAAATAAACATGTTCCTAAAATGAATTTTGAAATGATCATACTAGGAAGAAAATTTGAATTAAAATATAAAAAATCCACAAATCTTATGAAATTTTGTTTCCTAATTAGATGGTGACCAATTTTCAAATCTATCCTAAATAAATATTTGCTATTGAAATAAGATAATGCATATCATCTAATCTAAGTATAGGAAACTATACTTGATAGTAATCTTATTCATAGCTCTATTGTCAATGTCCAAGTTCTCAATCTTTTTTGTAATGATGAGAGGCACTTGTGGGATGTTGAACCCTAATTTTGCCTTTAATAAACATTAATATTCCATAATATGCATTTTTTTTCTTAGGGCAACATGTAAATCAACTACTCAAAAATATGAATCAATGCATTAGTTTTATGCACTGCATACCTTTCATGATTGGGCAACTTAACCTTTAAGGTTAAGTTATAAGGCATATTAAATTCTTTGAATTAAATAATAACCTCACCTATCTTACTTATGTAAGTGATTAATACAAACCAAATGCTACGAAGCATTGGTGAATCATGCAAGTATATGTGTCGTCCAATTATTATATAAAAGTAACAAAACTACGTCCATGTATTAATTTCATGAGGACTTAGCGAACCCCCAAAGTTCGGAATAGTTCTAATCTTATGGTTTTTAGTATATCGTGAAGGTTCAAAATTATCCTCCCGGTAGTCACTTAGAGGTTCGAGCATTCTTCTCTTATGGAGGAGACAAGTCTTTCTTCATTCTAAATTAGCCCTTATGTAGCCACATGTCACAATCATGGATTGCCATTGGATTAGAACCGTCCTAACTACGCTGACATAGGAGTTTTAGGAGTTTCTCCTTTTGGTGCCAAAGTCTTATTTGCTTTTTAAGGTAAAGAGCCCGAGTTAAGTAAATGTCACCCTTGTGCAATGTGGAGTGGCACCCCAATGCTGGAGGAGGCGCCTTGGCTCTCCATATCTAGCCCATAAACGCCAGGCTCCAATGTTGAAGGAGGTGCTTAGGTGCCAGACTCTTAGTTGTTAGGCGCTTGCATGATGTGGACGTGCCCAAAGAAGTGTTTATGCATCGACGCAGCGTTAGCATGCCCAAAGGTGGCGCATATGTACCACTCAAGGCAGGCATGGTGGCGTGATGGCTCCCTTTGGACTGGTGTCTGAAGCAGCTTACTCCTATCTCACTCCAATATCTACTAAGCCCTCTTTAAAGCTTCCATGAGTACATGTATCCTACAATTTCATTAAATCATCTAAAAGAAATAAAAAATGGAACAAATAAAAGAAACAAATTGCAATAATATTTAGACATTTTTTATCACATATTTTGCACACATCAGTGATTAGAGAACACATTTTTGAGAACTTAAATGGGCTAGTTAGATGCTCATTTTAGGCAAGATTATAAGTCTAGTACAATCAAGCTTATTTCATTCCAAGCAAGCTAGAAGTAGATTTGAGCCATTATATTGATGAGCCTCATCTGAGTTTAGGATAAGAGGCTGATAACTTCACTCTGCTATTGTGTCAGTCCTCATCTTTTGGGCTTCTCCTCGATATTTTATGGGATTATAATTTTGAAATTCTAAATAAATTAAAAAATCAAAATAAAATTTAATCTTATTTTAAAGCTCATTTGTATGCTAGCCTAAAACGCTACTGAGCTTTTATTAATTAATATTTCTTACCATTTTTTTTGGAATAAAACCAATTAAATTTCTAAAACAAAAATCCTTGAAAGCCCGAACTTTAAAATATTTAGACATAAAAGCTATTATTTAACTCAAGAGTCTTTTTAGAAGAGAAACTCTCTCGAAATAAAATTAATGATAGAGGCTTGCTTCTGCCTCATAAAGAACACTTTGTCTTACTTAAGTCAGACATGAGAGAAAACTTTAATAATGTAAACCCAAAGTTTTGAAACTATCATTTATATGATTTTTTTCATTGTCAAATAGTTTTTTCATCGTCAAATAGTTTTTTCATCATTTGACATAATATTTTATTCCCAATGTTATATCTAATAATAATAATATTAAATTCAGCAATTGCATATAATATAACACTTTCCACCAGTAGGCTAGCCAGTGAAGTACAGTGTTGGATGGAGGGGTGATTTTTTAGAATAGGAAACTCCTAAAAAATGAAAATTTATGTATATTAGATAATAAGTGAAAAGGAAATCAATAAGGTTGCAGTAGAGCAAAAATAAATGAGGTACTCTTAGCTCAAAGAGCATTGAGAGAAAACAAATAACAATGATGAAATAACAAACTAGGCAATAATATCTTGACAAAACGCTCATCTATTTTCAATTGCTTCCTAACTTTCTATCCTTATTATTATTTATTTAAGGAATTGTTTTAGGATTTTAGACATAAAAAAATAAAAAAAATTCCCAAGTTATTCCTTACATAGTTGCTTGATTTGTTAAACTATCTTATTGGTAACTTTTCTTGTTGAGCTCAGACATCTTTGTCTTTTTCTCAATCATGTTTACTCTTTAGATGCTCTCTATCATCTCTATCATACAAAATTTTTTATAATTTCGCAGTAGTACCCCAATCTCTTGCTCCCTTTGCCACTATCTCCAAGATTTATATTAGATGCTTCTCATGGCTTCCTTTATGCTACATGGACAACCCTATCCATCATCAATTATTCTTTTAGTTCTTTTTCCTTGCTTAGCCTCTTTTTTTCTCGTGCCTCTTCATTTTCTTTGATCTTCACTCTCCTTTCAAGTCGAATTTCAATTCCTAATACCTTGCTAATCCTATAAAGACATCAACACTCTCAGATTTATTTGACAACTCATAGGATTACTAAAGCTTATTTATTTAAATATTCGTGTTAAGTCATATTTTTTTCTTATGATAAATATACCATTTTATTATATCTTGACAAACAATTTAACAATTTATTTTGTGGAAGAATTAAATACATGGCACCCTATTCTTATGGATTTACCTATCTCACACGTAAATTTTCACTTTTACACACATAACATTTTACCTATGGATGAAAAGATTGATTTGACTATTAAGATGATAATGAGTGCTACTTTTTTAATGATGTATGTAATCATGGATGTTTAGATGTGAGATAAATAAACATAAAAATTTTGGGTGGTATGTATTTAATAATATATATATTTGTGATAGTTTTTATTTTACTTTTGCCTGAGTAATCTTAATTATTGTTTTGCCTAAGTAATCTTGATTAATATTTAGTTAAATGTTAATTAATATAACATTTCCATTTAATTGATAATTTACTAAGCTAATTAAATAATAATTTATATTTTAATTCAATTAAATAATATTAAAAGTTGTTTAAATCAAACTAATACAATTTAAATTAAAAAATTATTAAGAAGATTAATTTTTATTTATAAATCCATATAAATTTATTTATTCCATATCAATTGAATTAAAAAATTATCTCAATTATAATTACATCAAATAAATTAATGATTCTCATAAAAAAATCTCTCAATTAATCATTAATTAAAAATTTATAAAATTATTCAATAATGTTTAATTTAGTCAAATTAATTCATAAATAATTTGAATTTATTTAACTTTATAGTTTAACTAAATGATATTAATTATTATTTTTTGAAATTAATTATATAAAAAAAATTCAATTCTCATGGTTAGCAGATATCCGCATCCATGGTCTTTTTCCCTCCGCCGCTAGTCCCCTAACATCGTGACGGCGAAGATGAGAGGAGTCGCGACGGGAGCTCGCCGGTGAAGCCATTAACGATATTGCCTTGTGCGCACGAGATTTAAAGGCCGGCCTTTTCTACTGTTAGTCAGTTTTTAAATTAAATCCTGTATAAATCTTGCCACCAAGCAGCCCCTGGCCTTCTAAATCTTGTTTTCTTCTTCCCCTAAACAGAGATTTCAGTAGTATGGGTAAGTGAAGCAAATGATTTATATTTCTCCAATGTCCTCTTCTTTTATTTTCTTATTAGTTGATTTTTTTCATGTTTATTCTGTTTAATATCGTTTTGTGAAGATTGTAGCAAAGAGAAGACTCGTAAGGAGAAGAGAAAGGAAAGCCGCTTGCATAAGCGACAGAAGCAGTTCACATCATGGCTTGGTCATCAGGTTATCGATATTTTATTCAAGTTTTTTTCTTTTTGCGATTGGGGATTTTAACTTGTGGAGATTGTAGGATAATTTGAAAATTAAGACAAACATGCTGTAAGATGTAATAGAAATGGATTTCTGAAATCTATTTTCAACTATCAATTTTTATGTTTTTTTTATCATGAAACGTTAGCAATGAGATGATTTTTGAAATTAAACTATGATTTTGTGGAAGCAGATCAGTAAAAGGGAGAAGGCACAAAGGAAAAAGAGACAGCTCCTTGATTCAAAGCCAAATTCTAAAGGTATTGTTGTTGAGAAGAAACATATGGGAAGGAACGGCATTTCAGAAAATGCTTTCCTTGGTAACAAGACAGTGAAAAAGGTGGAGAGGAGGCCAAAAAGCAAGTTCCATGAGTACTTGAAGATGGAGATGACCAAAGGCGTTATTAGTGCAGAGGAGGATCTGGAGATGGAACGGAGGCTGGAAAAGAAGCTAAAGCTGAAGAAAAGGAAATTAGGTGGTCTGAATGATGTATTAAATGTGTTAATTGAGGGGATGCCGTCTGAATTGGGCAGCAAGTTTGATGATTTTTCAGTCTCAGAAGATGATTATGATCATTATGGACCAAAAATTAAAATAGGTGAAGAGAAGCATGAGGAGTTATCTGCAAAGGATGATGTTGACAAGAGTGAGAAGGAGGTTAAGAGTGTTGCTAAAGATAAGAAACAAAAGCTGATAAAGTCTTCTGAAGCATTTGTTAAGCATTTGGAGGAACACTGCTTTGATGATAAGACAATTGATTCTGCTGAATATAATGATGGATCAAATGTCAAGGAACCTTCTAATGAGGAACTAAAACCAGATGTAAGTATGAATAGCACAGCCCATCATTTAAGAGCGGGCACTAGATGCGAATCTGAAGAGTATGCACATATTCGTCGCAGGGTGAGAGGTAATTGTTACTGATATTTATCTTTTTTATTTGTTTTTGTAGTTCATGAGTTTTCCTTCTCCTTAGTTGCTCATTTCAATCTTATATTTTTCTCACGTTTCAGGATTATTGAATAAAATTTCTGAATCTAACTTGGAATCAATTGCAGGAGAAGTGGCCACAATTTTTCAAGTAATTATTGTTTCAATACGCATGTTGATTAAACCAAAAGCTTCTTTTATGCTTTTACTAAATATTTTCAGCCAGAGATTGTTGTGATTTTCTTAGTTGGCCTGACATTTTTATAGTCAGTTACTCGCAATGTTTGTTCTCAAATAATTGGTATGGAGATTGTGGCATCTTGTGTTATGGGGCCTCGTGGAAATGAACAGTAAGATTCCATTCCTCTTTTCATGTAAAGTATAGCTTCATTTTTTAGTGTTTTACAAATCCCATATAATCTGGATATTGTCAATTAAATTTTTGTGTTTGCCTATTTAAATGAGAAAGAAGAACTATGTTTTTAACTTGTTTATTCAATTAACAAGTAATTCAAATTTTCTTGTTTGAGGGGTAACATGGAAATTATCTGTATATAGTTTTGTCTTTTCATGTTTTGTCAAGATATAGGCAAAGAGGGACTTTATCTAATGCTGGTTTTGCTGAGATCATTGTTGGATGCTAGCTACTTGTTTATTGAGACCCTGATTGAATGCTTAATTTAGCTTTTATTGTTTAAAGCCATCGTTAAACTATAAATTTTGGGAGTTAGTCAATTTTCTTTCTATCTTTAAAACCTAATCTTTTAGCCATAGCAACTATTCAAGATAAGTTAATCTTAGAAAAAAAAAATCAGGCTTAAGGAATTGATGAATATATTTTTTCTGTTCTTTTGTCATTTATGTAATCAAAATGAAAAAGTAATTCGGTCAAATGATTTATTAGCTTCAGCTATAATACTGCTGAGTTTTGAGTTAGTGGATTTTGAAGTGTTAATATTTGTGAAGTCTCCTAGGATTATTGGCAACAATTATCATATTCCATTTCTTAATGTAAATTGTTTGTGCATATTTTATGTGTTCAACATAGAATAGCTAGTGGCTTCCCGTCACAGTATTCTCTTATACATTGTCCCTAGTAAAGTTCAGAAATTATGCCAATTTTATAACCGTTAGTATGCTACTTGGGTTGATTATTAATTTACTGAACAAAATTGCTTCACTAATTTTAAATCTACAATTGAATTTGTTTAGGTTGAATAGTTTTTTTTTAAATGAAAAACAATTTTTCTGACTGTTCATCATTTCTATGTGCCTTTGCTGCATATTTCATGTAGAATAACTTGAAAGTCATCCCAATTATGTGAAACTGCACCTTTTGGCTCTTGAAATATCATTGTTCATGTCAAGGAAAAACAAACCCACACTTCCTTTTATTTGTACCATACAATCTAAATTTTGTGAACCTTACAATAAAGTGAGAGGTTGCCTGAAGGAGGTCCTGAACCTGATCCTACTAAAGATGACTCCTAAGGAGGGGGTTGGGTAGAATCCAATTTTCAACCTCTAGCAGTTATTAATATTTATAGAAATGGAACAGTTTTTTCATTCTATAGATTTCTAGAAAAAGTAAGCACACCATATATTGCACCATGAGGGGAACTTTGTTTATTCTATGATTGTTAACCTTGGACCAGTGAGGCTAGTATAATTATAAGGTTGATTTATGAAAGGCAACCTTAGAAAAATTGATAGTTTGATTTTTGTTATTTAGATTTACTATTCGTTGCAAATGTTTTAAAAGCCATATATTTTTAAATGAGTAGTAGATGTATGGATTTAAATGATTAGCTGTTTCTGAGGTAATAAAGTGATTTGAACAATTTTTTGTTTTTTAAATTTCAAGCGTTTCTCTTAATTATACTCAAGCATTATATAGCCATCTCATTACCTTATCTTGCCATGTAAAAGGTGTAATAATGCTTGCCTCCTTTAAATTATCAGAAAACTTAATATTCTGCACTATTAGGCAAACTAAGTGTTCACTTTCTTTTATTCATATGGATGTTTAAGGCTGCCATCCATTCTTCTTAATCCCTTTGATTATAGATAATTTAAAAAAAATATGTACTTAAGATTCCTGCAATTGGTGTTTTTATAAACAAGTCAGTGTAGTTACTCATTTCCTCTAATCATGGGTAAATTTAAAACAAAATATCTGTACTTAAGATGACAGCGATTGGTTTTTTTATGAACAAATTGGATATATTTTAGCTTCCATACTTCAATGGTTTGTATTTATCCCACACTTATATCACTTTTTTTTACCAATAATGCTTTTTTGCAACTAGGAAAGACTTGGTGGTTTTACTCCTTTGGGGGTCTTTCACGCAAAAATCAACTTTCTTTGACTGTTTATGTAGTTTTTTGAGCTTTGGGAACAAAAATGTCTTTCTATATGCAACATTGTTTATGAAAAGGTGTAGTCATTTTCACTTCTACTTGTATCTATCAAAATTTTTATGCCAAATTTGTTGTAATTGTTTTATCAAGGGCTATATAATTAGGTATAGTTTTTAGTCATAGAATAAAGGAGACCTAACAATAATTCATTGGGTTTGGTTTTCTTCATTTATTTGCAACAAATATCTTACATTCAAATCTTCAAGTCTTTGTATTGTTATGCTCTGCAGCACATGAACCGCTTCTCTTAAAACGTTCCTTGCAAGATTAGAGCAATTTTGTGATATTCTCCTTGGATATTTGTCTCCATTCATGATAGATTAGAATGCGGAGGCACCAAACTTTCACAGAAGTTTTCTTAGCCATATTAAATTTTTCATTGTGAACATGCTTACACTTTTCATTCACTATTCGAAGGTGGTAGAAAAGATTGTCTGAAATCACACCAACATTGCTTGCCAGTCCTGGCCTAAGTTTGAATTGTTCAAGTGGTTGATCAAATGGCACTTTATCCTAAGGATTTTTTATAAATGTTGATGGCAGATAAGGATGATCACTACCGTTCATTTCAAATTCATTTCAATTGATGATTATAAATTAGGCAGATAATATAAAATTCAACACGGTCAGATTTATAAATAGACCTTATGGAAGCTTATTTGGTAGATTCTTCAGCTAAACTTTAATAGATAGATCAAGCAAAATTTATGGAACGATTCTTGCCATACCTCCCATTAACAAATTTTCATCACTTTTGCTAGCTTTGGATGCTCAATTTTAATGAGGGAAGCTTTTGTGGCAGAGTTTTTGAGAATATGCAGAACAATATTAGATAGGTAGGCACTTTATACATAATTTTTTGAGCTTACGGATTTACTAATAATTTGATAATAATAATCTTTCTTTCATATCGTGTAATAGTTTGGCTAATTGTATGATTGGTTTGCAAGGCAAGAGGCTAATGGTGAGGTTTATGAGCGAAGTGATGATTAATCTTGTAGTCTTGAATCCTGCTCTCCTTGGAGACAATATACATAGGACAATTCATTCAAACTATGAGGTCATGCAATAAAGTACGGATTGTTTAAAGAAGATCGAGATTTAAGGTCATTTCCCATCTTGCCCAAAAAAGTCAGTCATTGTTGTTTGCATGGTTGTTTGGTGTTGCTTTATGGGGATATTGTATTAAAACTGTTGAAAATAAAGTAGAAACATCTTTTGGCGTGTTCTTTTCCTTTTTTGATCCATTTGATTTCTTTTGCGATGCTGTGTCCTGCTGTTGATGTGTTTTATAGTCTTTTGAACCCAGTCACTGAAATGTCTATTTATCTTTTGTTTTGCGATTGAATTTTTTTTGTACACTCATATTTTTTTGGGAGAGGAATGAAAAGGAAGTTAAACTTTGTCCTAAGAAATCCAATCTGCCTATATAGACTTGCAATCAGTTCTTTTGGTTCTCTCTCAGTGAGAAAACAGTTAGCAAGAAATGGAGTTCCATATTGTGCTGAATAAAAGTTAGAAAATAACTTGTTATCTTGTCATTCGTATTTATCATATGGTGTTTAATCTCTTTATTTTTCAGTCCTAAAAACAGCAAAGTTTCCCTTGCTTTCTATATTATGTTTCAATCCTGTATTACATTCTTTATATCAAACCGTTGAGGCTGAAAGCTACACTTTCCATTTGAATTTTATTACTATAATACAATAACATGACTTTTCCTCTTATAGGCATGCAGCCGTCTTTGCAGCTTTTGTTGCTGGCATGGCCTGCTATGTTGGAATTGATTTCAGTGCAAAGCTATTAGCTTCTATTGCTAGATCATTTGAGGTACCTCAGTTATCTCCTTGAATTTTTAAATAAGTTCTTATGTATACACTTGGAATACTGAACTTTTATGTTTACTATGTAACCTGTCATTGTTGTGGATGGGTTTTATGTCCAATTGGTTAGAATGCAGATTTGCAATTCACTGCTATCCGGATTCATTAAAACAGGGTATGTGAGAAGGGTTTAGGAATGGATAAGAACTGTTTCTTGGGGCAGAATTTGGATTGCTAGGTTCTTTGGTGTATGAGTCGATTAAGGGTATGCAGTGTGATGGAGCAGGGAGAGGATGATGGGGAAATAAATGAAATTGAGATGGTGGAGGGACGCTCTATGAGATAGGAAGAATAACAATACCTCAAGTTAAAATGATCATGAAATTTTATGTGAACAGCTGAAAACACTGCCGAAATCCTCAAGTTGATTAGGCAAAAATGAAGATATGACCCCGGTGATGGCAGACCAATAATTTGCCTATGCTGCAAGTAATAATTTGCCTATGCTGCAAGTGCTCTCTTCCATAGAGTTCAGGTTAGAAGAACAAGAATTGTTTGGACCGTTGGAGTTAACTTGCCTCAACTAAGTAGTAATTGTTGGGAGGTATTTCCATGGAATAAGAGTTATCTTAATATAACAGGTATATGCAGTTAGAATTAGTTGTAGATATGGTATGGAAACAACTCGATGAGATGCATACACTTTTCTTGTTGTAAAACAACCAAATGCAATGGAGGCTTGATGTAATCAATTTTAAACAAAAAAGGGCAACTAACGGTCTCGTTAAAAGATAAAGCTAGTACTACCATAGGTTTTGAACTTTCTAAATATATTTTAAGATTTTCAGGCTCCAATAGAATAACAGTGGTCGTAGTCATAGATGACAAAACATGATAATTTTTGTCAAAGTTCACAAACCGTCAATAGTCCTCTTAGAGTGGGAGATCACATTGCATTGACTATCACAAATGTCAAACAATTGTTGATCTTATTAGCGCACATTATGGTGAACTTGATCTTAATAACTACGAACATATTTAGTAAAAGGCCTAATGGTTTATTTGATTTTAATATAAGTGCTCAAGATAAAACTATGTAAAAATCTTACATCTAGTATTGTTTTATATTTTGAAAGATTTTTATTTTACCTTCATATTTTAAATAGCTTTGATTTGATTTTAATTAACAATTCACCGATTTGTTATTAAGGGAGACCCTTAAAATCGTAGTGATGATCTGCTAAATTAGTTAAAAAATTTTCATGTTTGCTTAGTTTGTTTATGGACACGACATCTATGGTTTATGACAAGCCATAAATATAGAGAAGGCTAGGAAATACATAGCGTAGATCACTTATGCCTACAATAGAAATTTTCTTGCTTATTGTCTTATTGTGGACTAAGCACTAACCATTTTACGATAAGCATTAGTGGCTATTGCTTAACTGCAGAGTGCATACAATATTTTTTGTGCTTTTAATTTTTTTTTATTAAAGATAGTTTTGTAAAATAACTTTAGCAATAGGTTCAAAATGTGCTTTAGCATAGTATCAGATATTGATAAATAATTAAAAATAACTTTTATTATTTACTTTAAACTTTGGAATTATGTAGGATTTTGAGCTTAAGCAAAAATACTCTAAAATAAAAAAGATTTTCAAATCTAGAGTGACCTTACAGTAAGATTTGGTCTCTGTTATCATGAATGCTTAAATTAAAGTCAAATTTAGACCTTTCCAATTTATGTTTGTTATCATCAAAATTGAGATAACCAAAATGTGAGCTTATGGGTTTAGCAATTTTGATGATGACAAACAACTCTACATGGAAAAACACTCAGCGTTAAGTTAGAAAAGACCAACACCTTGGATGCTGCATATGAAATTTAAAAATTTTGAAATCTTAGAAAAGCTATAGATGACATGCATAAAATATTAAAATAAAATATTGGTAAAAAAATTAATTCAATTAACTATTAACCATTGTAAGTACAAACAAAACAAATTAGCAACTCAACAATTTTTTTATAGTTTTCATTACTATTCCCAATTTGTCATATCAAAAGGTAGGGAGGGAGTAATCACACAGGGAATCAAACATCACCAAGAGGAAAAGAAAGCTAATGTCATTATGAAATTATCTTTACAAAAACAGTCATAGGAGCATAAATTGAGCTAACTATAATGTAAGCTTATGTTGTCAACAATTTACTCTTTTGATGAAATCTACTTGGGAAAACATACGTTTAGATGTTGCATATAAATACTTTAAAATTCTACAAGTCTTATAAAGGCTATAAATGTTATGCACAAAAACATAAAGAACTATATATTTGTTAAATTATCAAGTCTATTAATTATGAACAATGTAAAGCATTTACAGTACAACTAAACAACAACTTTATCAACTCAGTTTTTTCTTAAGTTCCATTACTTCTCTGTTATATAAAAAGTTTGGGAAAAAAAAAGCACAAATGGATGAACATATCAAATGTCACCAAAAGAAAACAAAAGCGAACATCATCACCAAATTATCTTCATAGTGGCATCATTTTAAGCATCAATCTTTATTTGAGGAAGAAATCACTTGTTATCATCATTATCATAGTTTGGCAGTTGAACGCCACCACGGTATTGTTGAACCATCCAATTTGTGTGGCGATCTACACATTACATGATTTAAGCAATTATTGGAAGATTACAGTCTTAAAAAAACATATAGGGCTAGTGCTAATGTGATTTTAGCATGGAGTGTGTTAATTCTAATTTGTGATGCTCATATATTCATGTTTTTATTTAGGAAAAATTTCATATGTAGCACGCAATTTTTATGGATTTACGTATCTCACAACTTAACTTTCATATTTACACAATAAAACTTTACCTATGCATGAAAAAGGTGTATTTGACTGTTAAAAAGTTTTAAGTTGGCTATTTTTGATATGATTCGAAAGAATTGAGTGATATGCATGTAAATATGGGAGTTTTTGTTTGAGATACATACATACATAAGAATTGTGTGCTATGTATGTACATGCCCCTTTTTTCAATTATTTTGTGGATGACAATGATGTTTTTTTTCTGTAAATTTTTATATTTTTAATGTAATATTTATATTGGGAAAATGTGTGACAACTTAGACTGATTAAGAATGCCTTTGTGATAAAAGTTTTTTATTTTACATTATTTGGGATGTATTCAATAGAGGATAGTAGAATTGAATATTTCATATTTGTAATCTATTAAATTAAAAAATGTCTAGGATATGTGTTGTCTTATTGTTTGCAATTACATCGTATTACTCTATCCAAGTCATGTCATGTTTATGCTGTATCGTGTCTGAATCTCACAACTTAACTTTCATATTTACACGATAGCAATAAAACTTTACCTATGCATGAAAAAGGTGTATTTGACTGTTAAAAAGTTTTAAGTTGGCTATTTTTGATATGATTCGAAAGAATTGAGTGATATGCATGTAAATATGGGAGTTTTTGTTTGAGATACATACATACATAAGAATTGTGTGCTATGTATGTACATGCCCCTTTTTTCAATTATTTTGTGGATGACAATGATGTTTTTTTTCTGTAAATTTTTATATTTTTAATGTAATATTTATATTGGGAAAATGTGTGACAACTTAGACTGATTAAGAATGCCTTTGTGATAAAAGTTTTTTATTTTACATTATTTGGGATGTATTCAATAGAGGATAGTAGAATTGAATATTTCATATTTGTAATCTATTAAATTAAAAAATGTCTAGGATATGTGTTGTCTTATTGTTTGCAATTACATCGTATTACTCTGTCCAAGTCATGTCATTTTATGCTGTATCGTGTCCGAATTTCATATTATTTAGTGTAATGCTTTATTTGAGCTTAATGCAAGTGTTAATGATAATGTGGTTGGTGCTCATATTACCAATGAAATTAGAAAAAGTTTCATTTTAGTCTCATATGTTAAAAGTATTTGATTTGAGTTTTAGACTTGTCCAAGCATAGAATTGTAAAATATTTTAAAATCTAATGTATTTAATATTCCATAAAAATGTTTTGAAAGTTTTATTTATTTATAATATTCTGATATAACTCATTTTGAACATATTGTTAATGTTATTTTGCCAAATTATCTTTAATAAAAATATTTAAAACTTGCAAAAAATATATTATGCACTTCGTGGCTTGTCAATGACTATTTAACAAATCCTCACTAAGTAGTGACTTGTCATAAAGGGTTTAACATTCAATTTGCAATGTGACAACATGACTCGTCATAAATTGTTAGCATTTCCACAAACTAAGTGCACACAGATTTTGGTTGAGGGTTTATAAATCCCTCAACTTGCTAACTACTTATTTGCTATCGAGTTGAATTTGGTGACAATTATTTTTTCTAGTCATTGCTTCCACCTTGGACTCCATTTTTAGCGACCTAATTCGAGCTATTATGCGAATATGTGATAACATGGTGCTCTGTTTTATATCTATATAATGTTTTTAACCTAAACTAAAGTTGATTTGAACAGGAAAGGAATCCTTTGCAAAACCACTTCATTCAATGTAAATTAATAAGTTAAGGATCAAATATGCATCTAAATGTGTTTTAAAATTCTTCATTCTTCAGATCAAAAAATTTGTGTGGGTATGATATTCTATGCCTGCAATTTTATTTTTCTTCTTGTTTTGTGTTTGCTGAGCCCCTTGAAGGAAACTTTAGGAATGCACTTGTCAATAAATTGGGTGATGGAACTCTTATTCTTGCACTAGGTGGTGTAATTCTACATCAGGCAAAGTGTGTGAAAGTTATCTTTTTATCTTTATTTTTTCACAAGATAATATTTAGAGATAGAAGACTTGTATGTGGTTTTTTCTTTAAATATCCATGCACCTTCCCTAGGTTATATGCTAGCCATCAATAGTGACGGCGTTATCCTTTCTTAGCCTGCTCTTATTACTTCTTGGCACGTTGGCCAAGTTATGCTAATTTAACCAACCAATAAAGGCTAATAGATATTCTCTAATATAACTAAATTTTAGACTATTATATGAACGTTCGACCCATTGATCATCCTTTATAACAACAACAAAGTCTTTATCCCACTACGTGGGGTGGGCTACATGAATCATTTTTCTCCATCGCGTCTTATAAAAATCAAAATGATTTATGTCATGATTTTTTTTTGACAAGTTTTACGTTGGTTGTTGACTATCTAATACATCCCTCCACTTTCAACATTTGGGCTTGGGACCGGCAATGACTGTGTTATTGATCATCCTTTGTGATAAAAAATCTATATAGCCTAAAAGAACTTGCATGTATTTTGTTCGAGTCAATTTGTGTCTCGTACATTTTGATGCACGGTTCTTCTTTTTGGGAGGCACCTTTTTTTTTGTAAACATATACATTTGACATGATTTTAGCATGTCGAACTTGTATCAGGGGTTGCAGAGGAGTGTCTGTGTTCCGCTTGTGTTTAATGCAGACATGAAGGGCCATTTAAGGTCAATGCTTCATTTAAAAAACATAAAGCACTCACAATGATGTTAATAATCCCCATACAACTTTAACTAAATAGTGATACTATGACCAAATAGAATAATAACAAATTAATGGAATTAAAGTTACAGTTAACAACACAGCTATGAGATAGGAAAGCAATTAAAAGTATGGATGCAACAATCGATTTGAATGGATTAAGCTCATCAGGATGAAATCTTGTGGTTTTACTGATGGCTGTAGATCAGTGTTAATACCCATTAGCCTTGTGTTTTATGAACTAAGAGAAAGGCTGCTACTGGAAGGACAGAGCATTTGCCCTAAAACATCTTACACCAATCTTCCACCTTATTCGATTTCTAAGTCACTTAAATACTTAAAAATACTTTAATTGTTGACCATTCTAATAGTTGGATGAGCAGTGTAAAATGTGTGAGGATATAAGTATATATATAGATCCAATCTTCAGTACATAATTTTAGTATTCATTTTTTTTTTAAGTTATTTAGTTTGCTTAAGCTAGTTCATATTGGCTTGATTAATGAATGCAACTTGCTCCTATGTTTTACTAATATTTATGTAAGCGTACATAGTTTTATTACATTCTTATTTCCTATTGGTCAATTTGCAGCTACTTTATAGGTTTGAGCATATTTTTACATGTGTAAGGCTGATTTTGATGGATTTCGTGTTTTTTACTGTTAATAAATATGTTTTATTTTTCAGGATGAATACCATAAAGCTGACAGCCTTTCATTGCGAAATATTTCATTACTACTATGTCACTTGTACATTTTTGGTGTTTGTGCTAGGTATGCAATGTCTTTTGTATGTGTGTATGTTTTCTTAACGTGTTCTTTTAGTTTCATTCATTTTTGTTCTTTCTCATTTAATTAATGGTCGCAAGTTGATCCATTGTTAATTTAATATCAATATCAAAATGATTATTGCTTTCCATAGGGTTAGTCCTGTCAGTTATACATGTTCTACTCTTTTTAATAGTCTTTAAAGTTATTACGAGTTCAGATCATATGCCAAATTTTTAGGGGGATATTGAGAAAACATAGCTGGATTTTGTTGTATCATGATAACCAAGTGATTGGTGGTGTTGCACTTTGACTTGTTAGTCAAATGGTCTTGTAACTGATTTATAACTATCAGATAACGACTAGAGCTGCGGCATAAATGGATTAAGATTGAAATCCTATTATGACATTAAAAAGTCGATTTAGGTCTATTTGACTGATAAACCCAAAAAAATGTCTGTTCTATTATTTTGATGGGTGTGTCAACTCAGGTACAAATGCCTTGCCAGCTTACTCGCATATGCCTATCAAACTTGACTATGATCTGACATCGAGCGATCATGATTTGATTGTAATTTAGGTACCAGCCAACTCAAAAGCAAACACAACTATTATATAATTATCCAAAATAATTCATAAAAACGTGACTAGCAATAAGTAGTTTATGGGGTTTATTCTGGAACATGTTTTTTTTTATAAATTTTTGTTTCAGTCTGGGGATATCCACTATAGTGCTAAAAGCGTCAGGCATTATCAAGGTGGTGTGAATTCGTGAGGTGTAAGTTACCACACTGTCTATAAACTTGCAAGTAGATGTTGAGAAGTAAATAGATATTAAAAATATTTTAATTATTGGGATTATTTTTTAGTATAAATTATAATTTTCACATCTAACTATGTTAGAGAAAAACTACTAATTTATGAGTTTAATTGAATTTTTAGTTTGAAAATCTTACAGGTAGATTTTCCTAAATAATGCACACGAAGTACATTCTTTACTAATTTAAGAAATTAAATTATTTTCGTTTAAAAAATGCCTGACATATGGTGTAATGCTATCTTGACTTACATTAGTTTTATCATTGACATCATCAAAATTGTCTTCCGTTATTGAACTTCTAAACCTTCTTTTCTTACTTTTTCTCGGCAAATTTATCTTTTTCTTTCTCAAGATTTAATATTGTAAATTTGAGTCTCTTGTGCCTACTTATGATCTTACATGCTTTCTAATGTACATCATTATTTCTCCAACTCTTGATATTTTTTTCACATCACATGTTGATGGTGATGTCAAAGTGCCATAGTCAAAAAAAAAAAAAAAATCTTCAATATTTAAAGTATGAGTACTCATCTCTTCAATTAATACAAGTAGCTTTCCTTAAAATTTGGCGCCTTAATGCAATGCAATTATGTATATAATGAATAATGGTGCCTACTTGGAGTGTGTGGAGCCTCGACCATGCACGTCAACTAGTGCTTAAGCTGCTTTTAACAACACACTGATCCCTGAGGATAGTACTTGGTTGAGCGGTCGGGCTGCCTTTAACAAAACTTACTCCTGCTTCAAGATACCACAAATCTGGGTTTCCCAATACATCTTTTCTAATCTGATTCACCTTTTTTTTTTGCTGTTTGCATTGATTTTATGTAAAGATCTACTTCTGAAGTTCTTAACCAGGCATCACGCAGTAATGCATTAAATCATCAAAGTGGCTGGTGAAGGAGGAGAATGAGATTTGCAATGCATCTCAACTATTTTCTCGAACTACCTTACTATTTGAAACTTTCCTTTGGTCATGCTACCCATTTTTTTAAATAAATATACTTGTAGATACTGATATTTTTATCTTGGATGCCTTATAACTTCCAATTCCATTAATAAAGTTCATTTTATTTCTTACTCCATTAACTATTTATGGAATTTAATGCTCCTGATTCATTTTTTTTTTTGCTGGATAATTATTATATATACCTTTATTGCTTTAATCGGTAACTGAGTTGGGAGAAATTTTAGCTAATTCAAATTCTAGAGGAATTTAAGTAAAACAACAAATTTGGAACTTTTTTAGCAAACACGGAAGCTCTTTGAAAAACTGGATAGCATAACCTTAGCTTTGTGTCATTAAATTTAAGTTGTAAGGACATTCAGTAATGCTAAGAAAGCAGCTGTTTCCATTACAGATACATGAAGTTTCGTGTTCTAAAATCAATCCTATTTTTGATAAGCACATTGTCGGTCTCTTTTATTTAACATAAATTAAACTATTCAACTATAAAGTCATGTATGCCGTGTAAAATGGCCTTGTATTTTTCATAATCACTTTAAAAAAAGCTAGTTAAATACACCAAATTTGTATGTTTATTGACACTATCTTTTATTCCTTAAAGGAAAAAACTGATTTTTGTAGTACTTTTATTTAGCTCTAAAGTATTCATTTATTTTTTAAAGAGTCCTAACTTCAAGGCTTTCTGTAAATAGGAGCTAAAGTTGTAATCGCAAATTTCAAATTTCAGTTGCCAAGGATCTGGTGGGATCGTTTTTATTTTTTATTTTCTATTTTGTATTTTTCTTTTGTTTTCTTAATATTTTGATATTAAATAAAACATGTTTGTATAATGAAAATTAATTAAAATGTTTATAAAAACATGCAAAATAAATTTTAGTTGTTTTTAGTGTTTTTAACAATAAGGTGATTTAATTTAAAAAAAAACACATGAAAAATAAAGCGAACAATTTAAAAAAAAAACAAAAGAAAAGCCAAAAAAGAAAAAGAAAAAAAAATGATGCTAAACTGGCCCCAAGTTAATAGTTGCAATTTCAGATGCTTTGTATGTTAATAACCAAATATTTTATTATTTTTTTAATCGTGTAAGTTGGGAGTATTATACTGTGAGGTATTTTACGTGGCTAGTATTCATATGTTCATATTTCACTCTACTTCTCACATTGTGGATATTGCTTTAAATATTGGCTTTGCCTGTTCTGCAGTGATTTAGTTTTTGACCTTCTTGATGTTTTGAACAAGCGCTTAACAGAGTTAGATGTGTCAACCATCTTGACAATACTACAATGTTAGTTTCTCTCACCTTTACAATGTTAAACAATTTCCTTATGTACATATCTTGTAAGGTATATACAAAATTATTTGAAAATCATTATGATTTATTGGTTTTTTTCTTTGTATTCTTTTTGACACATTTGAGATAACGATTTATTGTGCATAAGTTTTTTTCGGATGTTTATCTATTAACAAATTGAATAGGTTGTGGAATGAAGCTAAGAGGTGATGATCCAACTTCCATGAAATATTTTGTTGTTACAATCCAGAACAGAGTTAATGAAATGAAGTCTGATTCGAAGTGCATCAAAGAAGGAGAACCAAAGATAAATAGTAAAAGAGTAAGCTAGTTATCCACATATTTTTCCTATTACTACTTGTGTACATGTTTTTAGGTTTAATTCAATTGATCCGTAGATGGAATTCATGCTTGAGACCATATGTGATATAAAGAATAACAAGAAACGATCAAAGGAGGATCCAGCTCATCATATGCGGATCAAGAAATGGTTGCAAAAGGTTACTTTATTTTCTTGTTTTGGATTTCTGATTCAGATTAATTTGTTGTAGCAGAGTAAATTGTTTTTCCTCATATCGGGTTCTCTATTGTAAAATTAATTGTTTTTTCAAAATCTTAACTTTACCACATTTAAATAATTTACATGGAGATTTTGACTGATTTAAATATTTTTGTATGTCTGAATGCACTTTTTTCTCGAATGTCATAGATTTTCTTTATTCTTGTATTTGTTCAGTTGTTTAATTAGCATAGATGTTTATGCTCTAAAATTTTTCTGCAGTTACACATAGAAGATGTTCTTCTTCGAGGTCTCACATGGAGTAAGCTTCTTGATCCTGAGAAGAAAGGACAATGGTGGTATTCAGGTGAAATCAATTCTACCACAGTTAATTTTGAAGAAGTGACAACTACCTCCAACAAGGATGTACAAGAAGCTAAAAAATTAGTTCAACTTGCGGCTTCACAAAGGATGAATACTGATGTAAGAAGGGCTATTTTTTGCATAATTATGAGCGGAGAAGACTACCTTGATGCTTTTGAGAAGATTTTGCGACTAGATTTGTCTGGGAAACAGGTTTGTAATCTGGATGTGGACTCCTCTTGACTCATTTTCATCTATGCATTATTGTTGGGTTTTTGCATGCATTACGTTCCATGAGTTTTTGTTAATTGTTCAGGATAGGGAAATCATGAGGGTTCTTCTTGACTGCTGCTTGCAAGAGAAGGTGTTCAACAAGTATTACACAGTTTTAGCTTCCAAATTTTGTAGCCATGATAAAAACCACAAGTTTACTTTGCAGGTGTGTTTACTCTATCTTCCCCCATCTTAATTTTTTTTAAATATATTGCAATCTTGAATATTTCTTTATATTCTTTTTACTTGTTTAAAGTTACGTTAGGTATTGTTGTCATCCTTATACTGGAAGAGTTTTCTTCTTGAATTATATCCTTTTTGAGCTCATATTACATTGAATTGTAGGCGAATGCTAGTTTTTAAGCTAATTTCTTTAGAATTGTCTCACTTCGTAAGTATTCTCTATCCACACACTTTTGTCAGTTTTGGGTGATGGGTACCTTGAGTGTCATTCCATAAATATTTCAATTAAGGGGAGTTTACATACATACGACACAATTGATATGTATTTACATATTTAAAACCTAAACTTTCATATTTACATGTATACCAGTCAAATCTTTTACATCACATCAAAAATATGACAATTATTAACTTCTTAAAAGGATATACACTATGAGACAAAAGTGTTATTAGTATAAATATTAAAATTTGGTTTTTAGATATGTAAATACATAAGAACTGTGTGGTATGTTTGTAAATTTTTCTTTAATTAATTATAAATTGATTTTTTTACATTTAACTTTATGTTCTTTTGTGTTGGATGCATCATTCGAATCATGAAGCGCCTGGAGTACTTGTTATAGGTTTCTGCATAAAATAATTTTTTTCTGTCCTCTTGCTCTAAAAGTTATGCTCATAGATAATTTAACATAGTATTTTTGTTTATTCTTATTAATTTTTTTGTGTTAGAGTATAATGTTGATATAATGTATTTAATTTTTTTTTCTAGTGTTCAGAGCATTTGATTTTTTAAAACTTTACCTACCTATTTGAACAATTCCATTTTAGACGAACTCATCTTAACTATAAGTAATTTTCATAACTCTCATTAATCAATTGAATCTAGCATAATCATCCATTACAATTTTATAAAAAATATAATTTTAAAGCCTTAATGATATTATCTTTCCACATAATGGTCTAAAGCAATTTCTCAATTTTGATGAAGAAGTTATGTTCATATTAAGTCAAAATTCTTGGATATAGTAGATCCAAGCCGACTAAATCCACTTCTCCAAATTTGAATTGGTTTTTTGGCATTATAGGCTTATAATTGCAAATTCTTTATAGGCTTTTTTAAACTTATATCACTCAACTCTATCATATCAAATAAAACTAACACTAATTTAACTTTAAAAAACTGAAATATACATTTTCATGTATGGTTAAGATCACATATGTATAAAAATTGAAGTTATAGGTGTTAGATATATAAATACATAGGATTTGAGTGGAATTTATGTAGATCTTTCTTTTTTCTTTTTTTTTTTAATTTTTTCAGTATTGCATATGGGATAACTTGAAAGAAATCGATTCAATGGAGATGATCCGTTTGATGAACCTTGCAAGATTCATCTCAGAGATGCTTTCATCTTTCTCCCTCTCCCTTGCGCTACTTAAGACAGTCGATCTCATGAATCCATCACAGCTTACACCAAGAAGAATTATGCATTTCAGAATGCTTTTTGAGGCTCTGTTTGAGAACACTGATGCCCTTGTGTGGAACATATTCTCCCGTGTATCTGCTGCTCCGGAGCTTGAAACTCTAAGAACTGGCCTTGTCTTCTTCCTTGGTCACCATGTGGTGACTGCGAACTCTGAAAAAACTGTTGCTCACAAATTCAGAATCGCAAAGAAAGCTCTTGGTAATGCAGCTGGAGTTCTTATGTAACTTTTATTTTGCTTCTATTCATTTTCTGGTGCAGTGAGGATTCATAAATGTTAGGATCACTGTTTTTCCTGTTCTAGTAAATAGTAATTTAGTGAAAAGTTGTCCAAGATAATACAAATATTTTTTTTTTAAAAAAAAGAAAATATTACAGTATTTTCTTGCAAAATTATAACTTAATTTAGTCTGTTTGTATATGGCAGGACTCATTTAAGGTTTATCCTCGTTTCTGTTACATATAGAGATAAAAATGTTATTTCTATTTTTATCTGAAGTCAATATACGCAATTTATTTTTAGTTTGGTGGCTTGTAAGTCTGCATTAAAGTGGAAGAAAAGTTAATGGATTCCTTTTGGTGGTGTTATTAAGTATCAGAAGCCATTATATAACATGTGGTTTTAAGGGAGCATTCAGGGAAAAAAATTGCGTACGTCAAGGGGTACGCAGAGATGTGTACATAATAGGGTACACGGGCGTTATATGGGAGTTACATAGGAGTTACAAGCGTGTTATAACTTCCTTGTAACTTTCGTGTAACTCAGTTGTAACCCGCACTTTTATTTTATCCATTGAGATTACAAGGTTACAGCGGGGTTACACGGGAGTTACACGGGACTTACACGGGAGATACAACGGGTTATAACCCCTTGTAATCCCCGTAAACCCCGTGTACCCTATTATGTACACATTTCTGCGTATCCCTTGACATACGCAAATTTTGGGCGCCATTTTTGCAAATTCTCATCCGCAAAAACGTTGAATGGTGTGTTTGGGAGGATGTGGATTACTTTTGATTGAAGTTTTGATGGAAAAAATAGAAACAGTGTTGGTTCTTTTGAAAAATTATACATTAGAAATTCCTATGTGCTGATACAAACATGAAGTTTGGATGTTAGATAAGTTATTTCCTTTCACCTTTCTTTTATTTAATCAGGAAATGTAATTTATGGATGGATCAATGAGCATTGTTGGTTATTTTGAAAATTTATTTTGAACATATGTAAAATATCAAAGTTTTGATGTTATATAAACATTTTCGTTTCACTTACCTCCATTTCAATCTAAAAAAAATATTTTTTGTAGAGAACTATGAGCACCGTTGTGCTCTTGGAAAAATATACATGGAATTGCTTTGAGCTCACGTAACTATGTTGGTTTATTTTTTGGAGAAATTATGAGCACTGTTAGTATATTTTTTTAAATTATACACTGAAATTTCTTTTGATCTGATGCAAACATGAAGTTTAGATGTTAGAAATTATTTTCTTTCACTATTCTCTTCTTAAATCAGGAAAAATAATTTATAGATATATATATGAGCACTGTTTGTTATTTTTAAAAATTATTTTGAACCTAATATCAAAGTTCTGATGTTAGATAAATAATTTCGTTTCACTTATCTTGCTTCACATTAAAAAAAAAAAATCAATGAAAATTATAAGCATTATTCCTTCTTTTAGAATAATATACATGGGAAATTGCTTTGAGCCGATGTAAACATCCATGTTAGATGTTTAATAAGTTATTTTATTTTACTTTTCTCTTCTTCAATCTAGAAAAACATTTTCTGGAGAGAATTATGGACATTGTAGATAATTTTGAGCATTGTTGGTGAGCATTGTTGGTTTTTTTTTTTTTAAGTTATACATGGGAAATTTGTTTGATCTTATGCAAACATGAAGTTTAGATGTTAGATATTTGCTTTCTTCTTCTTAAATCATGACAATTAATTTATGAGTAGATATATGAGCATTATTGGTTATTTTGAAAACTTATCTTGAACCTTTGTAAAATGTCAAAGTTTTGTTGTTAAATAATAATTTTCTTTTCACTTATTTGTGTTTAAATCTGGAAAAGCATTTCTAGATAGATTATAAGCAATGTTAGTTCCTTTGAAAATATATTCTCAAAATTTTGATTTAAATCAATGTGAATATCAAAGTTTAGATGCTATATTAGTTATTTCATTTAATTGACTTTTGCTTCAATTTTGAAAAATATTTTATAGAGAGAATTATGAGCACTGTTGTTTTTTGAAAAACTATATATGGTAAATTGTTTTGAGTCCATGTACACTTCAAGTTTAGATGTTAGATAAGTTATTTCATTTCAATTTCTTCTACTTCGAGGAAAAATAATTTATGGAAAGATATATGAGCAATATTGGTTATTTAAAAAAATTCCCTTTACCTCAATGTAAATATCGAATTTTTTAGTTTGATAAATATATGCATACTAGATCGACAATCAGTGAAAACTGTGCCCCAAATGCAACCTGAGAGCTCAGTGAGATAAATTAATCAAAGAAGACTTCATCCATGATCACAAATTTTATCATTCAGGCTTCAAGACCACGTAGTATCTGTGACGAAGAATTAAAAAAAATATGTGCTCAAAGAGCATATAGTATGTAACAAATGCTGGCATGTGTGATCTAAGAGCATGTAGTATATGTGGCAAATATTACTTACCAATTTTAGAATTGAGCCTTTTGATATTTATTTTTCATCATTGCTTTACATAACATTCAAATAAGAAATGTCTCACAACCAAAATTTTAAAATCATTGCAAAAACCAAAGCATAAACCAAGCAAACTATCACCACCTCATAAATAACAAGAATCAATCCTCCATCACATAATTCATATATCAATACATATCAAACATCAGGTCAAATCAATTTTACATGAATATATTTTTTCAAAGAATCAATTGTGCTCATAATTTTGTTCATAAAATAATTTTCCAAATTGAAGAAGAGGTCAGTTAAATGATTTTTTTTCTGTAATATTAAAGCGTGAATGTTTTAGATAAATTCATGCAATAGAAGAAATAAACTTTCTCACAATACTTCATCAAAAGAACATTTTATACGTAGGGCAATCACTTATTATCCACATTAATGATGCTTTTATTAAACAATTTTATTTCATAGAAACATCATATATGATGATTCCTGTTTCGCAAAGAATTTCTAATTTATCCATCAACGGCTACAAATATATATGTTAATCATCCATCTTAGGTAGAAGATTATGTCGTAACGATCACTGACCAGCGAGGCGGTCTCACGGTACAATATGAAGCCATCAAAGCATAAGCCAAGCCTAACATTAGGTGACTTCACAACAAATTCAGGATATGTATGACAAAAAAATATTTCAATGCTTTTTCATTTGCATGATGACTTATTGAAATATTTTTTTCTAAGTTGCTATGATATCATCTCATGTGTGGAGCAATGCACATATAATCAAATAATCTTTGAAGACGTGAAATACATGATAGATAAAAAAGACACTTGTAAGAAACTTCTTTCTGTTTTTTATTATTTTTTTTTAATTATGAAATTTGAATTTAGAGTCCAACGAAATCTATATTGAGTCTCTATTACATTAAACATATAAAATAACTTGCATCCATTTACAAAACAATAAAACTTCTCTGATTGAAACCTAACTTGTAGACCAAAATTTTCGTTATGTATGTCTTATGGAATTAAATTTTCCTTAAGATTTATCTCTTTCAATAATCTTGCAAACTTTATTGAATATCATTCTATAAATCTACTTCTCAAACTTAGGTTAAGGATCATAGCTTATAGAAGGAGCATAGTTAAATATTGAAGAGTCCACCTCGTTATGTGAAGTCCAAAATTAAAAATTAGATTGAAATCTTCGATAATAAAAATCATACCTGATGAAGGACGCTCGATTCATTTGTTTTGAATATGGACACTGAAATCTACCCTAAAATTGGTAAATTAGAAGTTGAGATGCCGCTTGAACGAAAATCTCAATACCATTAACTCTTCATGATTTTATAAGGAATTATTTTATAATTCCTTACATTTTAAATTAAAAAGATATTATAAAGATTGACTTTATTACAACAACAACAACAACAACAAGTTTTTATCCCACTAAGTAAGGTTAGCAACATTAATCTTTTTCTCAATTGTGTCTTATTGGGTGACATATTTGTATTTAATTCCAATAAATTAAGTTCAATTTTTATACAACATGCCCAAACTTAGGTATACCTCTATCTTTCTTAAAATAAGTCGAATATAAAACTTCTACTATCCTAATTGGATAATCAGATAGTCAATCTTTAATATGACCAAAACATCTAAGATGCTCTCTTTAATATTGTCTGCCACTAGAGCCACACCAACCCTTTCACAAATATATTCATATCACATTTTGTCTCTGTGTCAAGCCACTCATCTACCTATGCATTCTCATTTAAGCAACACTTAACTTAGTTTTATGCTTCTCTTTCCAATATTTTTGCGACATAAAATATTGCAGGTCTCACCACTATCTTATACAATTTTTCTCTCTGTCTAAGCATGCTTATTTCACAATAGGTCTGATGCATTTCTCCATTTCAACCATCCAACTTGAATTCTACTAACAACATCCCATCTATATCACCATCACTTTGAACAATAAACCCTAGAAATTTAAAACATTCACTTATTTTAATGATTTAATCACTCATTGTTACAACTCTGCCACTAGATCTACTACTACCAAAATTATATTCTATATATTTCGTTTTAAATCTACCGAAACGAAGGTCTTTAAACTTTAATGTAAACTTCCATACTTCAAGTTTTTCTGAACTTTTTCTCTAGTTTTATTCATAAGAAGGATATTATCAGCAAAAATTATACACCAAAGTGCACGTTTTTGTAAATGTCCAATAAGAGCATCCATGACTAAATTAAAAAGATATTAAAGTAAAATTGATCCCTGATGTAATCCAACTAAAATAAAAAAATACTTAGTTAATCCTCCTCTGCTTTAACATAAGTAACATAACAACTCTAGTACTACATATATCTTTAATGACTTGAATATAATTCATATCAACACCTAAAATAATCTCTTAATTAATCAGTAATTAATAATTTATAAATTTATTCAATAAATTTTAATTCAGTCAAATTAATTTATAAATAAAATGAATTCATTTAACTTTATAGTTGAAATAAATAATATGAATTATTATTTTAAAAAATTAGCACACTACATTCATGGTATTTTTCCCTCTTCAGGCACTCACATCATAAAACCGTGACACTAAAGTAGAGAGGAGTCGCGACTTGAGCTATCGATGAAAACCTGAATTGGATTCCATCTTGTGTACGAGATTTAAGCCATATTTGAGAAGTCTTCAAACCTCCATTACGTTGTAGTGAAAACAGAAGTGTGGATTTGTTTTTGTTTGACAAAGTAGTTTCTCACGAAATTGTTTCAACAAAACAATAAATTTTCACCGTTTTAGATAGCTGCTGAAAGTATTTGTTCCATGAACGTGACCTTTAAATGAGCTCCATTGTTTGTCTTTAGTGAAAATCGAAGTGTTGATTTGCTTTTGTTTGACAAAGTAGTTTCTCACGAAATTGTTTCAACAAAACAATAACTTTTCACCATTTTAGATAGCTGATGAAAGTACTTGTTCCATGAACGTGATCTTTAAATGAGCTCCATTGTTTTTCTTTCAACAAAACTCATTTCAAAAGAGCTCTTAGGATGACATTTTTCAAGGGTCTGTAAGTTTTTAAATAAGGTTCATTTGACGTGGCGTTGACAATAAAGAAATTTGGTTGAAAAAAACACTTCTAAGAACTCCATTAAAGTTTATGATCTGGTAAACGCGATGGATGTTTGAAATAAATGCTTTGATCCAGAACGCGAACCAGAACAATAGAATGGAGATTGCGATTGAAAAATAGAGAAAAAAGTAATTCGCGCTAAAGCACTTTTGAAGAAGGCAAACCACGAAACGAGCCTCCGACATTCACTCGAGATTTTATGGAACGCAACGGAGGTCTATCGGCATCTCAAATGAAGCTTAAGGGCCCTTTTGGGTGTGCTTATTTGGTGCTGCGACATTTTGAAAACACCATCTCCGCGTTTACTTAAAACGTTCGAGCAGGGTTTTCGTAATGTCACTGTTATTTCTTTAATATACGTGGCTGTGGGATCGACCCGTGGCCCGTGTTTGTTAACTCCATTTTACCTTGTAGCCCTTTCTCTCGTCTGACCTAACACGATCCCACATCCTTCTCCTCTCGAGCTCTCATGCTTGATTCGACTCCCATCTGCTCCTTCACCTCTCACCTTCCTCAAATCCTCTCTAAGACCTCTCATAACGATCAATTTATAAGTATTGAATGGAATGATGTTCGTTAGTTGGTGCTCTGTCAGTTGGATTTTGTTATTTGGATTTCGTTGGGTAATGGTGGGCTTTCAATTGATTTGCTCAATGAAAATTTCTTGGATTTTTAATGTGTTTGGCTGAGACCTCACAGTCACATTTTTTTATTTATGTTTTTTTGTTCAATATAGTTTTTGTTTAATTCAATTCTCTTGTAGATATCTAAGCCTTAATTTAATTTTATGGTCAGACTAATAATTTTTTAGTTTTTATCTCTGTAGAAAACATGAGCTCCAGGACTTCAGGGACCTCCCGAGTTGTGTTGTGTTACTACGGACTGCAAGCTCCCTTACTCACGTCACGTCAGACTCACAACTATGAGAGACAGTTCTACGGTAGCCTCAGGGGTGTTTTTGCGATGTGCTGTTTCTTCCCTTTGGCCGACATTTCGTCATATTCCACTGCCGACAGTGATCGAGAAACGATAGTTTCCCAGGAGGACAGTGCAACTGATAATTTTCGTTAGTTGATGCTCTTTCAGTTGGATTTTGTTAGTTGTATTTCATTGGGTATTCGATTGATTTGTTCTATGGAAATTTCTTGGTTTTTGAATGTGTTTGGCTGATATCTCACACTCACATTTTTTTTTATTTATGTTTTTTTGTTCAATGCCATTTTCTTTTAATTCAATTCTTTTGTGGATATCTAAACCTTAATTTAATTTTCTGATCGGACTGATGATTTTTTAGCTTTTATCTCTGTAGAAACATGAGTTTCAAAATTTCAGGGACCTTCAGAGTTGCGTTTAGGGCTGTCAAAAAAGCTCATTCTTCGCGAACAGTTCGTGTTTATGAACAGTTCGTGTTCAGTTTGTCAATGAGTTCGTGTTCGATTCGTTCGATAAGCAAATGAGAAGAACATGAACAATTTTTTTTTGTTCGGTTAGTTAAATAAACCAAACAAGGCCAGTGATGCGTTCATTCGTGTTCGAATCGTTATTGTTCGAAATATAAAATAGTTTAAAATAATTATCTATAAAAAATTTATGATATTTTAAAAAATTAAATTTTATAAATTATAATATATAATAAATTAATAATAATAATAATATATTAATGTATTATATTAGTAATATACTAATATATATATTATATATTTATATAATATAAGTTATATAATTAATGTAATATATTATTTATATATATTAATATTAGGGATGTCAAACTGGCTCATCGTTCGCAAACAACTCGTGTTCGGCTGGTTCGTTAAGAAACGAACACGAACAGTGACTTCACGAACAATTTTGAACACAAGCTTATTTCAAACAAACTAAATTTTAAACGAAACCAACAAGAGCACAAACTCTATTCGTTCGTGTTCGGTTCGTTTACACCCCTAGTTGTGTTGTATTACTGCGGACTACAGACTCCTGTACTCATGTCACGTCAGACTCACAACTACGAGAGACAGTTCTACGGTTGCCTCATGGGTGTTTCTGTGATGTGCAATTTCTTTCGTTGGGCCAACATCCCGACATATTCTTTTGCCGATAGTGATTGGGATAGGATGGTTTTCTAGGATGAAAATTTAGCTGATGACATACGTCGTCAGAGTTTTAAAATCAACATTTTAATAATTTTAATTGTATTTGTAATTGTTTGTATCTTTATTTTATCAGCTTTGATACTCATGTGTAAGTGCGGACTGTATCTTATTTTTTTTAAACTGTTATGTATTGGTTTTAAACAACATTACTTAATTGTATCAGCTTTGATACTCATGTGTAAGTGCGGACTGTATTTTATTTTTTTTAAACTGTTATGTATTGGTTTTCTACTTCTGTTATATCAATTATATTGCCCAAATAGTTCTATTACAAACAACATTACTTAATATGGACAAAATGATCATTTATCCAAAAACAACTGCAAATAAATGTGCGTTTGAGGCAGCTTGTGGGGTGACCCACAGGGTTCGACCCGTGACCTGCGTTTAATGTAAAAAACAAACCGTGTTTTCGGATAAGCTGTCGAAACGTGATTTCCAAACGGTGAGACATCGTTTTTAAAACATCGTCCGCACTTATAAGCTGACCCAAACAGACCCTAAATTGCTATGAATAAGTTCCTTCAAACAACCAACCATCTTATTATGATAATCTGTAAATTATCAGATTATAAATAATGCTCAGCTGTCTCCAAACAGACCCTAAATCTTATATAAATCTTGCCACCAATTAGCATCTTTAAAATTAAAAAAATGTTACATTCCGATTATGTGTATTAGGGTGTAAATGCACAAAATCTTAAATAGATATCCGTATGAAAAATCCCATCCTTAGCGGCTGCCCGATAAATACTGCAGCGTCCCATCGTTCCCATCACCGGAGAAACCCTCCTCCATGGAAGCCACTCCTTCCTCTTACCATCAACACACGCTGCCTCCTTCCAGTTCCCACTATCCGTATCACCATCCGCCGCCGGCCGATGAACCCCTGCCGACGTACTTTCATTCGCAGCATCCGCTTCAACCTCCGGTCTCCCGCTACGCTCTCCCGCATCCCCCTCCCCCTACCCATCACGATGAAGTCCGGACCCTCTTCATCGCTGGTCTTCCCGACGACTGCAAGTCACGGGAGATTTATAACCTCTTCCGAGAATACCCTGGCTACGTGTCGTCCCATCTTCGGAGCTCCACTGATTCCTCTCGAGTAATTATTGATCTCCATCTCTGTCTCTTTGTTTATTTATGGTGTAGGTTGGAATCTGCAACATCCTTTATGTGGCTGTGTATCGTGCTGCTTCAACCCTTCGGTTGTGGGTGCATTGTTTATTTTAGTGTGGTTTTCGTTTAATCACTCGGAAGTTTAGATGGCGAGTGTTTTGTTAAGAGGTCTCTGTACTATTTGGTGGAACTTTACAGGGTGAGGGTAAAAGCTTGTTCATGGAAATTGAAAATGGATGATTTAGATACAATTCAGCTGGTTTTGAGTCAGCAAGATACTTCAACGAATGTTAAATTGAGGAGTTATGATTCCTGATTCGGGAAATAACCTTTTTGTTTTATCTTCAGAAGCACGTTTCTTCTGATTGTTGTCAATTTCTCAGTACCAACTTTTTGCTTTTGCAAACTCTCTGCGATGTGAACCCAGTTGTAATTAGTTTAGAAAATAAATTTGGTTAATTATTGAGAGTGATTAGCTTGTGATAATCTCATAACTCTATAATTAACCCTAATTGGGGATTATGGGGCATGAAGCGTAATGACTGAATTTACATCTTCATAAATATTATTTATAACAAATAGCAGACAGTAAGCTATATCTAACTTTATTCCCTCGAACATTAGGGCTTATGGAAAATCCTATATCCCTCGCTTTTCCCCTTTGGCTCTTAATTATCGACTTAAGTTATAAAAGTAAGAGGTTTTTGACAGTTTGTATGAGATCAGGTTGGTATTAGAGCATTGTTCTTTAATACAAGTTGCACATAAATAGAGGATAGCAAGGTATTGGAGAAGGAATTCTTTGTGTAGCACCAAAAAAATAAAAGCAGAGTTAAGACAGGAGTGGTTGAAATGATTGAGAGTGAAAATCTTCCAAATCTAGCTAAACAAGTGGCTAGATGATTGTCTCAGAAAGTAGTTTCTATGATGCAACTGTTGAAGATGCAATTTTTTGGTTTCACCAAATTATAATAACCCAATTGCTGCACAAAAAATGCTCATGAAAGCAAATGTTGTTAACATGGGTGGATTTATAGGGATGAATATGTGATTGTCACCATTGGCAATGAAGAAGAGCATGACCTTTCAAGGTGGAAAGAAAAGTGGGCATGTCTATTTATAATGGAATAATTAACATAAAGAAATTGGACTTGTGGATTGATGAACCAAAAACTGATTTCATTACACAGTTATAGAATGTGTGATAATATCGGCCTTTTCTGATTGAAACTTTGCTATTATGCTTTGGTATGGTGGAATGCACATCTAAAAAATATTGTTCATCAAGAAGTAACTTGAGGACAATTTAAGGGGTTGATTTTTCATGAATTATATTCTAGAAGTTATGTAGAGGACCTATGCAAGAAATGAAAATATGAGGCAACCACTAGTATAGTCTATGTAAGGGGACACTACAAAGTTTTTTGCGCTCAACTGTCAATTTGGGAGTAAATATTGTAAATATGAAAACATCAATGAAGTAAACCTCAAGGCTTTTCTCTTAATCTACAATTAAACTCCACTTATTCCTTATTGTTGATTGAACGGGCTTGTATGATGGCGATGCCATAGAAGTGATAGAACAAAAGAACTGAGATAGTATAGAGAAGAACTAATAACCTTTATAAGAAGGGTCCTATTTCTCTAAAAATAAATAGGGAATAAGGCATCTAATTATCTTATGACTATCCTTTCTTCTAAAAACAATACCTTTGGTAAGTTCTATGACCATTGTTAGAGACCTACCAGCACAAAGGAGAAATGTTGGAAGATACATTTTGAACTGTTGGATGAGAAAGAAAAATTAACTACTTTAATAGTGGACACCTTAATAATGAGTCTTGTGGACAAGCCATATATCTTTTATCTTTAATGAAAATGCTAAAAGGATATTGTTGCGGGGCATCCCTTTAATATAAACATGTAACATGAATTACTTTTAGAATACAGGTCAAGCAATTGGTGATCAACGTTATCATTGACACAAATGGTTAAAATAACCTCATATTTGTCAATTTGTTTTAGAAATTAGGGTTGGACATCCGTCTAGGTTCTTATCCTTTGGGTTGGATCCTGAAAGGATTAGAAATAAAGATTGATTGTCAGTTTGGACTCACGTTCTTTATGACAATGGCTACATTGACTATATTTAGTGTGATGTAGTTCCTTTGACATCCGATAGGTCATCTTTGGTTGCCTATACTTAAACGATAGATATGCAGCACTACATCAACAATCATACTTGTTCTTGTTCATAAAAAACTGAAAGGACCTTGTTGAAGGACAACAGCAATTCCTTGATGAGACATGGTAAAATAGGCCAAGCATGAAATATTATCAAAGCTCGCTAGAAGTTCTTATTATTGCTTGTTTGTCTTGTTGAAGCAGAATAGACATGCTTAGCCCCCTCTGTTGTGGGTAAGAATGGTGACATGCACGTGCAAAAGTTGATTGAGGAGCTCACTTCTTAAGGAGGTCCAATGGTTTCCACTAGAGCGACACATCAAGCATGACATTCAACTAATCGTAGACACATGGCTATTAAATCTCGTACTGTACCAAAATTCAGAATAAGCTAAAAAGCAGGCTATGCTTAGGAATGGAGTGATTCAATTCAGAAGTTCTCCATTTGGATAACTAATTGTGGTGATTCTCAAGTAGGACGACGTGGATGATAAATGCCAAATATCATATCCTTAGAAAAGAATAGTGTAAAAATCATTATCTTTTCCTATACATTGATTACCAGCTAGACCAATTAAAGCCGCCAACATATTCTCTTAGCTATGTTTCAAATATGACCATCTCTAAGTGCAGATAAATGAGAATGCAACTGGTAAGATTGTGTGAAGTTGTTTATATGAATGGATTGTGAGTCACCCTTGCTGCCTGTTTGCTACTGATGAAAGACATTATGCTTTTTACCATTATGACTTCATTATTGTCAAACGAGATAATATATTTATCTTTAATAAGTTTTGGGAGTACCATTCAGAACATGAGGACGGTTTTTGACCTGATGCAACAATGTTAACTCCACCTCTTGAAGTTTGCAAAGAAGTCTGTCCTTTATCTGAGTTTGAGGTGAGCAACTGTATCCAGGAGTGGACAAGATCATATAAAATGACACATGTAAGGAACTTCTTGGGCGTCTTCCTTCATCATTTGCTAGTAGCTCTTTGCCCTTTATATGCCATTTCTAGAGAAAATTCCAAATTTTAATGGAGCCAATGGTATGAAATACTTTCCACTACCAAAGAGAAAAATAAGTGAGGCACCATTGCTAACCTTGCCTAACTTGCAAGGACCCATCAAATTGGAGGCAAATGCAAGTGGATATGTCATGTTATGTTGCATAATATGCAGCCACATAGATGGAATAAGAAGAAATATCAGTGTATGTGTCAAATATGTGTGTGAAGGTATATGATTTCAGATTGTGATGCAATGCTTGATACACAGAGAACCCCATTTTAATCTTTGATGATGTAGTTTCTTATTTTGATGATTAGCTCATTCTTATCTTTCTTTGGTTTACAGCCATATGCATTTGCTGTCTTCGCTGACCAGCAGTCTGCGGTTGCTGCAATGCATGCTTTGAATGTAAGAATTTATTCAACATCTTTTTATATGTATATGGATGATTCTTTTAGCTTTTATTTGCTTTGCTGGAACTTTACAAATCTAGAAAACGAAAACATATGTTTTGCTTTTATTTGCTTATCATAACAGCTACTCAGTTTAACTATGTTGAGATTAAACAACATCTGGAGAGTTTGTTGCTTCCCTTCACTGGATTTGAGCCATATTAACTGCAAGTAAAGTCTATTTCCTAGGCTGCGTGGTAATTTTCCCAAACTGATACTAGGGTTTAATGTTTTAAAACCCAAAAGATACACGAAATACAGCTAAGAAAAGCTTAAGCATGATCTCTAATTAGCAATGTCCTTGTTTTTTTTTTATGTCAATAATTGCACTAAGTGCAAGAAGCATTTTCCCAATGGGGAGGTTGGGGTGGGTTTGATGTTTACAGTTTTGTCCTATTGTAGAGGTAAAATGTGCTTGATTTAAACCCATAACCACCAAATTAGATAGAAATCTTAGTTTCTGTTAACTGAAATTCCATTTGCAGATCTGACCCTCATTGTTCTGCTTTTAACCTAACTGGCCAGTTTATAGTTTAGTTTGATGGAAATCTAATTTTGAAAATGTAACTGATTGACTGCTTTTGACTCTTTACTGTCATCATCTTACTCACTACTAAAGTGCTTTGCTTTATTTTTAACTAATGATATTTCTTTCGTCTCATAGGGCTTGGTTTTTGATCTTGAGAATAATTCAACTCTTTACATTGATCTTGCGAGGTCCAATTCCAAATCTACTAAACACCAAATAAAAGGTTAGTATTTAACATTTGTAAGTGCTGTAATGCTCTTTTGGGAGTTGTATGCCTTGCTTAAGAACAAATGGTCTTGTTCATCCCAGTCAAAAGTCCTTCCCAAACCCGCACATTTGTGCATCTATTATTATTTTCAAGATACTCCTAGGTCTTTTTCAATATCCTTCCCAAAAACTTTTGAACTGCAAATAGTTTCACTATAAGCTAGTTTATATTTAGAGAAAACTGTAAAGTGTCATAACAATTAACAAGTTCCTGTCTGAGTTTTCAAGAAATTGCTTAGTATAATCAACTTTTCTAACTATTAGGTATCTCAGGTTGTCTGTTCTTATTTTCTTTTTATCTTTAGTGATTACAACTTACTAATCACATGTGACACTCCTCAAGCTCATGTTGCACATGTCTGAACACTTTGCGCACTAGCAGGTGTTGGGAGCAATATACACATGCCTGGAAAGGTTAATTCTGCTTACAGCACATATGATTATCCTTCTACACAAAGGTTAAGGCACACTGCTTAATGTTTAGTTTTTTGTATTTGAGTTTTATTCAAGTTAAATATGCAATTTTTTAGATATGATCAAGCTTAATGATATAATTGATTGTCATTTAGAGAGCGTGGTTAGATGGAATATGATCCTTGAACTTTGTCATTTTGCTTTGGCTATTTTGTATAAGCAGTTTGAGACTTAGTTTGTTTTGTTCGTTTCTTGCAGTCATATTAGCTTTCACTATGATGAAGCTCATGAAGTGGACCCAAAAAAACTGGTGGGCTCTTTGTCTTAATTCACATTCCAATAACAAACTTGTTATTGTTCTATATGGATTGACTTCTTCTACAAATTATTTCAAGAATGTTTTTGTAGATGATTATTAGCTGAGTTCGAAGGTATAATAAATAGATAAATAAATAAATAAAGAGTTATAAGGTATAAGGTATATGGATATACCTGATGAAAGAAAAAAAAAAGAAAAAAAGGTATATTCATATACTTTAGATTGCTGTTATTAAATGGGTAATGACCATTTTATTTGGATAGCCCATATATAACTTCTTTTTTAGAAAGCATGATACAATCTCAAGCTCATTCCATTTCCTAGTCTGCCTCTGAAGGTTTTTTTTCCATAATGTTCTTCAATATCTGCAGATGTTTGTTTCTACAGTCATGATTTATGCTATTGCTGCTTTCATTTCCCATCATTCAGTTTAAAAATATATTTCTTGCTGATTTTCGTGTTCTTTACTCTTTGTTGGAAGAATGATACTTGTTATTTACACGGCACAAACAATTTTGTACTGGGAATTTGTTTCACCAAATGCAGAAATTTCTCTAGTTTCAAATTCACCTTTCATGAACTTCTGCAAGTGCCTTTTTTTTTTCTTTTGCATGCTAGCCCAAATTCCTACGGTTAGTACTTTAATTATGTCTTCTTGGAATTGCAGACTTCTTCAAAAACTTATGCTCTTCAAAATAATCCTCCTTGCCCTACACTTTTTGTGGCTAATCTTGGTCCAACTTGTTCTGAGCAAGAGCTGACAAGCATCTTTTCCAAGTCAGAGAAATTTATTATTTTATATGTACTGTAAATGTTATTAATACTATTTTACTTCAGTGAGTTCCGATAATCTTTGCTTTGCCATGTAGATACCCAGGCTTTTTAAAATTGTTGCTGCAAAAGAGAAACGGGGTTTCTGTTGCATTTGCTGACTTTCAGGTAATTGTTGTTATTCTATTTTCATTTTATATATTTTTTTCGTATGTATTTGAAACTGTTGTTACTAGAGAAGTTCTTTTAGGTTTATAATTTGAATAAATATGTTAATGCTAAGTTGTCCGTTTATTATATGATCAGCCTATAAATGCATGCTTGGCTGATGCTATCCGCCTTATTTTATTCTAAGAAAGTTGATTTTATGAAGCTTAAACATTTTTATCTTAATTTGGCCTTCTGAGCATATATATATATATATATGTGCGTGTGTGTGTGCGTGTGTGTGTGTGCGTGTGTGTGTGTGCGCGCGCGTGTGTGTAGAATTAACTACGACAGAAATTGCGGTCAGACGATATCAACATCATATATATATGTGCGTGTGTGTGTGTGTGTGTGTGCGAGCGCGCGCGCGCGTGTGTGTAGAATTAACTACGACAGAAATTGCGGTCAGACGATATCAACATTTTATTTTATTTTTCATAAAAATTTTCAGAAACTTATATATTTTTATTTTATTTTTCATAAAAATTTTCAGAAACTTCTAATATATAAAAACGTAATTATACCATAAATTACAATAAAAGTAAACATTCAGAAACAACTTAATCTGAAAATCACATCTCAACCAGTAAAGAGCAGTGTATCAATATCTACAGGAAACAATATAAAAAACTACAAACACTTGATAACTAGTACTTATTAGCTATGGTTCTCTTCCTTTAAATTAAATCTCTTCTACGAGACATATCAACCTGAAAGAAAATATTAACTTCAACTGTAAATTTGATTTAATGAATAATTATAATCTAATATGGATTAAATTATGATGTTTGTTATGCATGAATGACCTAAAGAAAGTACAATTTATTATTTTGTAAAACGTTAAACTTTCACTTTAATTTTATTTATTTCTGTTTCACCTTAAATATTTATCATTTTAACATCTTTAATGATCATAATAAGATTACTGCCATACCCGAATGTATCCTAAAAAATGTGTTCGAAGACACTCTAAAAAATGTATTCGAATGTACTCTCAAAAGGTACTCGATGGTACTCTCCTTTTGTATCCGAAGGTACACCTTTATCATTTTCTGTTGCGTGCACGGGTCTTTTGCATCATCTGTCAGTACTAACTGAGAATAATTTTGTATGATTAATCATTTACTTAATATTTCATATCAATTAAAATTCTTTATAACACATTTTCATATGTAAGTTATTTTCCTCACGTTCTTTATGTTATTCAGACTTTCAATATACAAGCTATAACTAAAAAAATTTATTTTAAACCATTTAATAAAATAATAATTCATTTACTAAAATATTAATGTAATGCATAAAAGAAAATAATCACTTGTAAATCTTTATCTTATCTCTCTCGAATGTCTTGCTTCACCTCTTCCTTAAAGCCCAAAAATTTAACGGATTCTTTCACACTTTTTAATCTAAAAAAATTTAGTAACATTAATTACTTTAGCATATTGTATCATTAATTTTCATAATAACATAAGGCTTAACATTTACCTTTTAGATTTTTCAAGTCGGTCTCATCCCTTGCACCCTTCTCCAACTTTTTCTTCGAATATGAATTCACCATTTGTTAGTGTCCTGAATTCAATAAAACTTTTTATTAGTATTATTATTAAACACACTTTTTTAATATATATATATATATATATATATTACTTAAAAAAAAAAATCCTACCTTATAACTTTTCGGCCAGCTGCTCTAGCTGAAGAGCGCTTTTTCGGTCAGGAGACCTGACGGTTCGCATGATACGCTGACCAATTAAATTTGGCCGTGTGGAAAATGTGGGACCCGCTTGTCCATGTAATTGAAAAAAAAAATTCACTAAAGGCTGACCGACCCGATGTACGAGCCCGCATCTCTTCGAGTTAGAATGTCGAAGAAGATGTTTCAAAAATACTTTCTGCTAGTGTTTTTCTGCTACATTTTCGTTATTCGCTCTGCTAGGGTTTCACATTTCCCTCGTTCGATAGCTTCGAAGCCGTAAGACGATGGCGTTTGATGATCCAGAGTATGCACAGGCCGAAGAGAGCTCAAGAGCAGTATCAGAAGAGGCTGAGAATACGGAGGTCGAGCAGCCAATGAAGTCAAAGAAACAGAAGAAGGAGGCGAAGATGATGGAGGGCATTGAAAGGGAAAACTTGTTTTTGGTAATTGTCATCGTTTTATTCTCAGGTTATGTTTAGGTTATTAGTTTGATTATTATTGGGTTATTATTGAGTTACTCCGAAGCGTAGTACTTATTGGTAGCTATTCCATGTTATTCATCTGTTATTTTTAAATTATTCGTAGGTTATTTGTAAGGTAGGCATATCTTATTCTCTTGTTAAACTTGGGTTATTTTTGGGTTACTTGTGGGTTATTTTTCAGGTTATTCGTAGGTTATTTTTTGGTTATTTTTAAGTTAACTCGTGAGTTATTTTTAGTTTATTCTCTGGTTATTCCTGGGTTATTTTTAAGGTACTTGCAGGTGATTTTTAATTTATGCGTAGGTTATTCGTAGGTTATTCTTTGGTTATTTTTAAGTTATTTGCAGATTTATGCGCAGGTTATTCATAGGTTATTCATAGGGTATTTTTAGGTTATGTCAGATTATTCGTAGGTTATTTGTACGTTATTTTTAGTATATTATTTTGTTAATTTTGAAGTAATACGTAAGTTATTCCTGTGTTATTTGTAAGTTATTTTTAAGTTATAAGTATGTTATTCTTTGGTTATTCCTAGGTTATTTTTAAGGTATTATTTTGTTAATTTTTAAGTTATGAGTAGGTTATTATTAGGTTATTCCTGGGTGATTTTGAGGATATTTTTAAGTTATTTTTAGGTTATTCCTACTTTATTTCTGGGTTATTTGCAGGTGATTTATAAGTTATGCGCAGATTATGCGTGAGTTATTTCTGGGTTATTTTTAGGGTATTGCTTTGTTAATTTTGAAGTATTGCGTGAGTTATTCCTGGGTTATTTTTAGGGTATTGTTTTGTTAATTTTGAAATAATGCGTGGTTTATTCCTAGGTTATTTGTAGGTTATTTTTAAGTTATGCATAAGTTATTCGTAGGTTATTCCTGGGTTATTTTTAGGTTATTTGCAGGTTTATGCGTATGTTATTCATAGGCTATTCCTAGGATATTTTTAGGTTATGCATAAGTTATTCGTAGGTTATTTCTGGGTTATTTTTAAGGTATTGTTTTGTTAATTATTATGTTCTGCGTAAGTTATTGTTGATGTAGTTTTAGGGTATTCCAGTATTAATAACAGTATTAATAACAATATTAATAACATGCGTCTTATTCCTGTATATTGATGAATAAGCATTCTTTGGTTATTCCATGCATCTTATTCCTATAGGTTGATGAATAAACAATCAATGAGTTGTAGATGCCGACCATCAGCAGTTAGAGAGGTGTTAGATAAGGTTCGGTCAATTGTCTCTCGGGAGACGTGGTCAACTCTGGAAAGAATGAAGCTTAATCAGTTTTTTGATCTGTCCCCCTATCCTCAAAATCACATCCTAACCATGCACATATTGAATTGTTGGGATATGAATAGATTGGTTTTCAGATTGTGGGGGGGTGCGGGGGGGAAGAGCTGAGTTTTGATGCAAACCAAGTTCTTGTGGATTGGCATGCCCAACAAAGGTCCTACAGTAACTTGGTCTAAAAAACCCGTCAATGACGTAGATGCAAGGCGAGCAAAGAGTGAACTATTGGAGAGTTCATCTGCTAGTCTTGATGAACTTATTATTAAATTTTTGTTGTCTAATTTATTATTTTCTTCCAGCAATTTTAGTGTACCCACATGACTATTTTCATTTGCTGAGAATGTAGATAGTTTTTCTTCATTTAATTGTGCCGCAACAGTATGTGATCACCTAATTGAGCAGGTCAATACTTGCGCCATGAAAATAAGGATGGGTCAGTCATTTAGATACATAAACACATGAACGGGTTTGTTTTTCTTCAAACAGTTAGTATATTGCTCAACCTCAATCAAAAAATTTTATTTTCATCTTATTTGGGTTATATGAATTTTTGATTTATTAATTGTGTTTATGTAACTGTTGTTTTATGAGCGCACACTTGTGATAGCCTCGGCTTATCCTGACGCAAGACCTCGTATGTTGAGGTGGCCAATAAATACAGGGTGGAACCCTTCGAAGAATTATTTATTCTTTAAGAAGCTTAGTCCTGTACATGTGAATGATATTAATGTCTGTTTTAAGTTCAAGATTATGTTTAGTATTTGACCACCTTATTTAATTCTTATAATGAATGTTTTTGTAGGTTCTTGATTCTTTTGTTGATTTAATATACGAGGAGCATAGTTTACTTGCCTCTCTAGTTGACCCGATCTCGTCTCCTGCAAAGTTTATTGGAGAACCCGAAATTCACACTCATCGAACAACACTAGAGTCTCATGATGCTATTCCTTTTGTACAGACTCGCAGCATCCCGCCACCTACACATTCACATTTTGGTTTTGAAGAGATATGACAAACTTTGAGGGAACAACAACAAATTTTAGTTCAATTGAAGGATTCAGTAAATAACTTAAAATATTTTTTGGAGTATTCACTGATGGAGGTAAAGACCGACATCAACGAAATAAAGAAAAAAATAAATAAAGTTCCCATGGAATCTCCTGTAGATTCTGAATTTACTGGGAAAAACCCAGAAAAGGAAGAAGAACCACCTGCTCATATTGAGCAAGCGTCGGAACAGGAGTGGGGACCCGATATTCTTGAAGAAGAACAGCCGATAGGTAGAATGACTGCTTTCGATGAAGCTGCACCTGATAGTGAAACTAATAAATGTGTCGGGGAACCTGGAGAAGGCATCCCTAAAGACCTAATTGATAGCTTAGTCCGAAGAATCAAGTCCAGAGGATTGAGGAAAAAGAGGATGGTTAGTTCTCCATTTGTTGTTGTGAAGAGAAAGAAGATGGAAGAAGTTCCGACCTCGAATATAGATGAT